TCTTTAAAAAAAAATCTCATTAAAATCTTTGATTATTGAGATTTTTGGAGTCCCTTAAATTTTACACTTGCCTTATCCTTGCTCTGATCCTGGGGGCTGCCAGCAAGACCCAAGCCAGAGCAGCCTTCCATTCTCCACCCCCAACCCCCGGGGGTGTTGCTACCCTCTCCCAGCCTTCAGCCCACTTGCTGACCACCTGGGTCAGGGAGGCCTAACATGCTAGAGTGGGCCAGGCCACCATCCCAGAGAGAAAGGCTGTTTGCTGTGGTCTCCCAAGCAGCCTGATTAACATGCGGAAAGATGCAAATTGAGGCAATCCTGCTGTTTTAGAAGAACTTAATATGTTTTTTTAAAAGATAGGGTGAAAAGGCAGAAATTGCAGAAAATTATATATTGCGGGAGCTGTTTTATCATCTCTGCAGTTGATTCCAGAGATGCTTCTGGTTTGGGACAGGCATATCATGTGTTCAGAGAGCCCCACTGCCAGGCTGAGAATGTCAAACAGCAGGACCTCTGACCCTCAGCCAAAATTTGCTGCTCCCTGATCCTGCTGGCCCAGTGCATTTTATTGCCGCTTCCCTAGCCTCTTCCTGGGGTCACATGTATATCAAGGGTTGATTCATTCATTAACCCTTATTTAAGGGGAACAGTTGAAGCATAGTAAATAAGACTATTGACATAACCCAGAAGCACCTTCAAAAGCAAGTCCCCAAGCAGCTCCATGCTCCTTGTCTCACAGGCTCCCCATGGGCCACACACCCATTAGGGAGGAACCTTGCCTTGGTTATAGCCTAGAAAGCTCTCTGAAGTTCTGTCTTATGCCCACGGATTTGACAATGGCCCCATATAGTTTATCATAATGGACTTTTGGCGAATGTTTCTGGGTCTGGGTGGCAATAGGGAAGGCAGATCAGGTTGAAGAACAAAATAAGCTCCCAGCAATGCCTCACACATATTTGCCATGGGGGTGGGGTGGGGGAATGAGATGTGGCTCACTGGTGGATGTTTCCAGTTAGATGAATTTCAGAGTCAGTCTTTTTTTTTTTTAGCTAGCTTGCATAGAGGAGACTTTTCTAAAATGGATTTCACACTTCTCTGACTTCTCAAACTGAGGCTACAAAACATAATTAAACTTATCTTGATGATTCGGGGTCATCATTTGGAATCTCAGTTATTAATCTTTGGAGCCAGACTGTCTTGTTTCAATCCAAGCTTCTCCTCTTACTAAGATTTGTAGCTTCAGGAAAGGGTATTAACTTCTCTGTGCCTCAGTCTCCTCAGCTTTAAAATGGGAATAACGATTGTAGTTATCATAGATAAACACGAGTTGAACATTGGCAATTCCATATGGGTCAGCCCGGGAGTAGATGGCACTTGGCGAGTGTTGGCTTCTATTCTTTTAGCTGTTCTATGCTGGGCACTGTGGACTGGTACTTAACATATATCATCTCCCTTGGTCTTCCCAACAGTCTCACAGGGGGCATTATTACTCCATTTTTCCAGAGGAGAATACCAAGACTTAGGTTAAATTGCTTTCCCCAGGCTGCTCAGCTAGTAGATGGCAGAGCTGGGGTTCCAACCAGGTGTCTGTGGCTCCTTTGTACTGTTCTCTCTGTCAGGTGCTGTGCTGGGACCATGGCCCTCCCAGTGGAGCACTAAATAGTCCTGGAAGTTAGGGTCTATTAAGTTCTGCACTAATATTTTTCTGATATTCCCCCTCCCCTCCCTGATCTTGCAGGGCCCGCAGGGGTCCTCCTAGGAAGGAAAAATAAGAGCTTTGCCTCTGGATTTTGTGGCATCTGTTTTGGTTGTTTCAGATATATGTGTGTATTTCGTAGTCAACCAGTATAGGTGTCATGTGCAGCTTGCCTGTATTCATTCAGGTGAAGGTGTCACACAGGTGACCTCCAGATGTGGGAGAGGTCACTGTGATAACCACCAAGCTATGCTGGAGGGATCCTGGATTCCCAGACTGTCCCCTGAGCGCCAGCCTTCCCCAGATGCCGCCCCTTTCCCAGTACGCTCCCTGTAGCATCAGCACCAAAACCTAAACCGCCCAGCTGAAAAGGACAGTGGTGATCATCCTGCCCAGTGCATCACTTTATAGATGAGGAAACAGGCTCAGAGGGCTTGAAGGACTGCTGGGACAAACTAGAACTCAGAGCTTTGCATTCCTTGCTGGGGCTCCTACTCAGCAAAGTCTGGTCTGTTTTCTGATGCCGCTGATGGTTCCATCCATGGGGAGGAGCCAGGGCCCACTTTATGGGCATGTGATCTGTTCAGTCACACAGGACCTGCTCTTGGTTTAATGCTCTGCTGTTACAGTCTTGAAATCTCTTAATACTCTTTGAACAAAGGACCTCACATTTTCCCTTTTTACTGGGTCCCACAAATTATATAGCCAGTGCCGGGAGGAGCCTACCAGGTCCTAGGCTTCCTCCTCTTTCTAGGCCTTGGGATGAAACTCCCCAGGGAGGCATTTAAAGTGCTCCCTCCATCCAGCATGGGATGGGATTGGAACTTTCTCCTGGGGAAAGATAGTGACTGCTGGGGATGGACTTAGAAGGCTAGAGATCTTTCTGGGAGGGTGTGAGGGAAAGCCCTGAAGTCTAACTGCCTTTGTTACCATCACTGTGTGATCTTGGATGACCTCTAAAAGCCTCAGTTTCCTCATCTGTAAACTGGGAGACTAGAGGAGTTACTTCATACTGTTATAATGAGGATTCAGTGAAATAATGTATGTAAAGAGAAGGCTTAACACAGCACCTGGCATCGAGTAAGTGCTCGGTAAGTCAGCCATTCTCTATTCCAGATCTGAAGTCCTAGATTTCTCAGGAGGCTCTCAGATTCCTGGGGCTTCTAGGCCTTGGAAGCCCTCAATCCGGCCTCCTTGTCCCTCTCAGGTGGGCGATGCTGAGGGACATGATAAAAGCCATCATTATCTGGGCGCCTCCGTGTGCTGGCCACTGTGCCCCAGCACTGCCCCTCAGGGCCTCCCTTCAGGAGACCCTCTCAGCCCAGGCTAACCCAAATCCAGCCCTGAGCCGAGTCAGAAGAAATCAGCGACTCTAAAGATACAGGGAAGCGGGTCTCATGAACTATAGTGTGCTCTGTGCTGGAAGAGGCATGACTTTGAAATCATGTTGAGTTCATACATGCTGAATTTCTGCTCCACCAGTTGCCAGCTGGTGATCTTGGGCAGGTTACCTAGCTCTCCCAACCCCCAGCATCCTCATTTGTAAAAAGCAACAAAGGATTATTCTGAGGGCTAAATATGATAAGGCTGTAAAGCACTGAGTTCGGTGACAGGCCCACACAGATGGTATCTAATACATGTTTGTTGAATGAATGAATGAGCAAGTGAATGGAGGGATGCTCTGTTTGCTGTTGTCAGATGTCCTTGAGGGAAGGCATATGAGGTGGTAGAGGTGGGAGTGGGGCAGGGACAGAGACCACACACAGTGGGCGGGGGGAGGGGAGAAATATCCAAATCATCATAACTTGTACACACATAGTACTTAGTGTGTGCAATATACTGTTCTCAGCGCTGTACTCAATTAACTCATTTCATTCTCACAAGCCTATGAGGTAGGCCTTGCCTGTACCCCCATTTTACAGATGAGGAAACTGAGCACAGAGAGGGTGAGTAACTTGCCCTAGGTCACACAGCTAGTAAGGGGATGGAACGGAAGCAGGCAGCCTGGCTCCAGAGACCATAATCTTAACCATTATATCGTACCCACTGCCCCAACCTTTGACCATGTCCTTCAAGCTGTGAGAGGTTGCATCTTCATCCCTGCCACCATTTTGGTCCTCACTGGGCTGTAGGACACTGATCTCCAGAGACCCTCTTCGCCACTGGGAGGAAGCGGGCAGCGTGAGAGCTGGGTGGCTTGCTTCCTCCCTTGCTTCCCTCAAGGGCCAGGCCAGGCCCCAGGGACTATTGACAGAGCCTTGAGCTCTGGCCAGTTGGCAGCTGATTTGTCGGGATGCAGAGCTTTCAGGTTGAAGAGACCACACGGGGATGGGCGAAGAGGAGGACACGGGGGCATCTCTGCCCAGTGCCCTGCTGGCTGCAGCGAGCTGAGGGGCTAGGAGCCATGTGAGAGGAGAGGTCAACCGATTCTCACTAGGCCTGGTACCTTCCTTATGCTCTTGGGTTGAGTGTTAGGTCTGGGTCAGCCAAAGCCGTGAACTAGTCAGGGGAGTCAGAAACCCAGGGCTCTGTTTGATAAACTGGTAGGGGTTGCTCCCTGCTCTGAGCTTTAGGCTCCTCAGCTGTAAAATGGGGGGGTCATGGTCCAGCTATAGCTACCTCAGAGTTAGATGAGCCTCTTGTGAGTCAGTGCATGTGAAAGTGATACTTAAACTTGAATGTCCTCTAGGAACTATACAGTCATGTAAGGGAGTGAGGCGATGTGGCCAGCGAGGGCTTGGGGTTAGGGCTTGGGGTTAGGTGACCAAGCTCAGAGTGGCTTGAGTTAGTTATTGCACCTCTCTCTGAGCCACTCAGTACAATAGTGATGATACCTTGTGCATGAACCTTGACCGAGTGGGTGACGTGCCTGCACTCTGCTCCAGACTTCGCACACTTGATCTCATTCAGCCCTCACCACAGCCCTTTGAAGTGTGTACTGCAATCAGCCCCATGTTACAGAGGGGAAACTGAGGCTCTGAGAGGTTACCTCCCTTGCCTGGTCACACAGCTACAAAGTGGTAGAGCCAGGATTCAAACTGGGGCAGCCGGCTCCAGAATCCACCTGCTTCACTGCCCGGCTGCTCCACCAGACCTGCCGGGTGGGGTTGTTTGAAGATGAAATGAGACCCTCCTAAGTGTTAGCTCAGGGCTTGGCACGTGGTGCGGGGCAGTGTGAGCTGCTGTCCTTTCTAACTGGCTTGGCGCCCAGAATCCCCAGGCCCTGGGGCTGTGTCCCCGTAGGGACGGGGTCCCCCTCCAGCCTTCTGTGCCTCACACCCCTCTTCTCCCTCCTTCCCACCAGGATGTCGCCACAATGCAGTTCTGTGCCAACAAGCTGGACAAGAAAGATTTCTTTGGGAAGTCTGACCCCTTCTTGGTGTTCTATAGAAGCAACGAGGATGGAACGTGAGTTCTCCGGCAATGCTTCACCCCCACTTTTGGGGGCATGGGCTTTGGGGGGAGGGATGGACCGTGGTGACTTGCCGGGCGGGGGTGGCTTGGGCCATCTCCTCCTGCTGCTGCCCTGAGGCCCCTGCTCTAGAGAGGGCAGGGGCTCTGGGTGGAAGTCAGGGGCTCCAAGGTAGTACCCTGGCCACACAGATGGGGCTGGTGGGGGATAAGGGGCAGACTGCAAGCCCACAGTGCCATTCTGAGGGTCATTACTAAATGGCTGGCGCTGGGCATGTCAGAGATGGAGGGAGCGGGCAAAAACAGGGCTAGGGAAGGAATGAGGGGCCCCTCTGATAGTCTATTCCTTCTTCCACATGCATCAGTCCACATCTCTAAGCCTTGTCCTCGCTCACGCACAGCCTTCCTAACACCCCACTACACATATTCCCCCCACTAATTCCTACTCAGCATGGCAAATCTGGACCCCTTTCCCCCCTTGGCCCCAGGCTTCATTCAAAATCCCTCCCATCTTTGAAGCCCCCATTTCCTTCTCTCCTCTCCCTAATCTGGAAGCCACCCACAATATGATGGAAAGACAACTCATTGGGCAATGTAAGAGGTCAGTGATGTACACAGAGGGACAGATTCTAGGTTGAGGGTCTTGGGACGTAAGTCCTCTTTTCCAACCCGCTCTGTGACCCTAGACAAGTATGCCACCTCTCTGGGCCTGTTTTCTCGTCAGTAAAATGATCTGGTTAGATTAGGTGGTCCCCATGGTCTCTAAGCACCACAGCTCTGGAAGGCTGCAGCTTAGCTGGGATTCTGCAGAATGAGGAAGCGATGGGGCCAGGGAGGTTAATTAGAGAAACGCTGCTGGAGAAGGGAACTAGGAAGAAGGTTTTGAAGGAGAGGAAAAAAATGGGTCCACGGGGTTTGGGGTTTGGGGTTTGGGGGTGGGGGGAGGAGCAGGGAAGATAACAGGCTAGAGAAACAGTGTGTGCAAAGCAAGTGTGCCCTGAACAGAGGGCAGGGAGGCCTCGCTAAGTCCCCTAGAATCTGAAATTCTGGGTGTGTGCGTGTGCGCGTGCGTGCGTGCGTGTGTGTGTGTGTGTGTGTGTGTGTGTGTGTGTGTTGGGGGGCAGGGCAGCAGCAGGGAGGAGGTATGTTTCAGTTGAAGGGAAAACTGATCTTTAAAGGAGCGTACAAAACAAGGGAAATTAGGTACGATAATTTGCATAACAAAAGGATCCTTTGTCTCACCGTAGGACTCTTAGCAGGATTTCTTTAAATAATTCTTGTTGACTTTGACTTGATTTGAGGGAGGGAAGAAAAGGTCTGAGTAATGTTCTGGGTGCCCATGGAAATGTCCATGCAAGTCCCCTCCAGAAAGGAGGGCAGGGGCCGCCCCAGGGCTTGTCTCAGCGGCGAGGGCTGACTGGCCAGCAGGAGGGAGGGATTTGGGTTGTGGAACAGGAGATGGACATGTTGCAGAGTGTTTGCCAATGATTATTCTAGCAGAGCGGTGTGTAGGTTGGGTGGGGAGGGGGCGGGGGAGAGGGAGAGACTCGTGACTGACGTGGTGAACAGGTGGGAGGTGCTGCGCCAGGCGAGCTGTGGAAATGCAGGGGAGGAGGCAGGGAGGGGAGGACATGGGCAAAAGGGCAGGGCAAGACCTGGCTCTGCAGAACTTGGGTGGGGACCGCCCACCGCCCCCTCCCTGGCAGACGAGCTGCAGGGAACCCAGACTGTTGAAAATGGCAAAGGAGCTGGTCAGATGGGGCAGGCGATGGGGGTTTATTTGGGGGCGAGTTTCACTTGAAGCATGGGCTGGATCTTTCTGGGGTGAGGGGACACCAAGGGCAGCTGGAGAAACCGATCCAGAAGGACCACAGGGAGTGAAATGTCAGGCCTGCCACGCCAGAAGGGAAAAGGGCAGGAAGCATCCACGGAGCACCCGTGCTCCTGGCACTGCACATACCTTGTCTTCTTCAATCAGAATCACTGGTCTGGGAGCAAGAATGTGGTGATGGAGAGCCGGGCTCGGCCAGTCGCTGCCAATCATTAACTCTGTAATTTTAGGCAAGTGTCTAACCGAATGGAACTTTATGTGATGGTGGAGATGTTCTGTATCTCACTGTCCCTTATGGTCGCCATCAGCCACATATAGCTGCTGAGCCCTTGAAAGGGGCTAGTGTGACAGAGGAACTGAATTTTTTATTTCATTTCATTTTAGTTAATTTAAATGTAAATAGCCACGTGAGGCTAGTGGCTACCATTCTGGACAGTGGGGCCCTACCCTCTGCGTTTCAGTTTCTTGGTGTGTGTGATGGGGAGAATCATAACACCTCCCTCCCAGGGAAGCCGTGAGGATTAAATGAGTTAATTCGGGTTATTAGAACAGGGTCTGGCAGCGTTAGTTACAGTTCTTTGGGAAGCTCAGTCACTTGCCCAGGGCTGCACAGCTGGAGGTAGTGGTCCTGGGACCGGAGCCCACATCTGTCTGACCCCATTGGTTCACACCCTCACCCCACGGCCACGTCCTGAGTGTGTGTTGAAATGAATTGAGTTGAGCTGGGAGATGACTGCAGGGACCATTTCCACACTAGGGCCTTGTCCCCCACGGCAAGTACATCAGGGGATCGAGGGGCCTGTGGATTTAGTGATGGCAAAGGAGGGGGGGGTTGGGGGAGTTTAAAAAAAGTGGTTTCAGGCAAGAGTCTGAAGCAGAAAACAGACAACACAGGGCTCAGGAAGAAAGACCTAGGGAGGAAATGAGGCTAATAGCTTAGAAGACTTGGTCAGGCAGTTTGGCTGGCAAGCGAGAGGAGCTAGAGAAGGCAGTGGTTCCAAAGAGGTGGGGAGACAGGGAGGGTCCACAGCAGGTCTGTGCGACTGTTGCAGGTGGGAGGTTAGGGCTTCTGCAGGGTGTGAACCTCCCTCCCTTCACCACCAGTTGCTGCTCCTGCCATCTCCCCCAGTCCAGGCTCCTCTTCCTGCCCGACCTACTGCCCCAGCCATGGGCAGCTGTGGCCCCTCCTTTCCCTGTCCCCATTCCTGTCCCCATCACCAGCTCTGGAGTGTGTGGGGAGGTCTCCCACATGTACCTCACACTCCAGTGGGTGGGCGAGAAGGAGCACAGAAGAGAAACGCTGAGCCATGGTGACAGGAATGACATTTTGACTTGAAAATTGCCAGAGAAGAAATGGCACAGGCTGTGTGAGTATGGGCGGTGCCCAGGCACCTTCCTGGGTGACCTTTCCAAGCCAGGAGGTAGCTGGGGTGGATGCTGGGAAATCTCATGGGGACAGCCCCTGCCCTGAGCTCCTCTCTGGCTTCTCGCTGCCCCTCCACGTGGCAGGGCAGGCTTCCATGGCGGGGCCAGTCAGGCATGGCATGGGGAGTGGGCAGGGGTGCTGGATCGGGGCCCAGCTGGGGTTAAGCCAATTCTGCACTTTTAGTTTGCAAAGCAAGCTCATGGATTCAGACTACAAGAGCTGAAAGGGTCTTAGAGATCATCTAAGCCAGCGGCTTTAATTTCACTGGCTTGAAATGCCAGTGAGAGCTATGGAAACTCTCCTCTGAGAAATACATTTATTCATTAGTTCATTCTGAAAAAAATATTACATGAACACCTTACTAAGTGCCAGGTGCTATTCTGGGCACTAGAGATATACCAGTGAACAAGGAAGACAAACCCTTGCCCTTATGGAGCTTACATTTTAGTGACAAGACTATGAAAGAAATAAGGAGAAAGACAGACCATGTCAAATGTCAAATGGTGACAGATGGGATGGAAAAAGCAGTATGGAAAGGGACTAGGATATCTCAGAGTCAGGGGACCAGGGGGCTATAAATTTTAGATAATGGTTCTCAGGGCAGGTGTTCATGTCAAAGAGATGACAGTTGAGTGAAACCTGAAGGAAGTGAGGAGGTGAGCCGTTAACATGGAAATTTGGGAGAGAGTCCTTTAGACAGGGGAACACATGAAACTCAGGCACCCAGTTCCACTGATGATTTCAAGGGTTCATAGACCCCTAAAGCCCGTCCCCAGATCCTTCCATGGATCTCAGATGAAGAAAGTCTAATAGTGGCCAACTCCCTGGGTTTACAGGTGAGGAAATAGAGGCCGAGAGGGGGACAGCCTTGCTCAAGGTCACACAGAGAACAGGGGCCAGAACCACATCTTCTGACACTCCTACCTGGTGCAGGAATCCTTTCTGTAGTGTTATCAAGAAATGGCTGTCTAGGAATAAAGACGCAGATGTAGAGAATGGACTTGAGGACACGGGGAGGGGGAAGGGTAAGCTGGGAAGAAGTGAGAGAGTGGCATGGACATATATACACTACCAAATGTAAAATAGACAGCTAGTGGGAAGCAGCTGCATAGCACAGGGAGATCAGCTGGTTGCTTTGTGACCACCTAGAGGGGTGGGATAGGGAGGGTGGGAGGGAGATGCGAGAGGGAGGAGATATGGGGATATATGTATATGTATAGCTGATTCACTTTGTTATACAGCAGAAACTAACACACCATTGTAAAGCAATTATACTCCAATAAAAATGTTAAAAAAAATAAAATAAACTGAAGTTTATGCAAAGATTTAAAAAAAAAGAATGGCTGTCTAGCTTCTACCTGGATGCTGCTAGTGACAGGCAGCTCATCACCTCACGAAGCCATTGTTTCTACTGTCTGGCAACTGCAGAGATTAACAAGCCAGCCCCTCTGGTGATCTGAATTCTGCCTCCCTTGGAGCCAGGACTGACAGACTTCCCTCTCTTCTTTGCCAGGTTCACCATCTGCCACAAGACTGAGGTCATGAAGAACACCCTAAACCCAGTCTGGCAAACTTTCTCCATTCCTGTGAGAGCCCTCTGCAACGGGGACTATGATCGGTGAGATGAGAAAATGTCCCCTGTCCGCAAGCACAGGTGTGGGGGGCACGGTCACATTGATGAGGGCCATCCCATCAGTACAAGCGAGCAGAGCCTCCTGGAGCTGCGTGCTGGTGGCCCTGCACAGGGTGGAACTGGGGATCCCTCTGGCTCCCTGCCCTTCCCTCACCACACCCCGCCTTTTTTCCTCCCAGTCTGACTTTCCCATTGGTGGAAGCCCTCCCAGGTTGGGGGGATGGGAGGTACCAAGGATTTCAGAGAAGCCCTGGTGTGTGTTGGGCGCCCTGCCCGGAGCTCTGTAGCTGGTCTTTTCACTGTGCCCAGTGAGGGGCAGGTGGGGGCCAGATGGCGGCTCTAGATGCACGTAGAGGTGACTTGGTCCCCAGCAGCCCCAACTCCTGGCTGAGAGACTCTGGGGAGTCAGGATCCCAGGATATGCGCTGCCAGATGAGTTGCCATAAATGGGGGTGAGGGATGCAGTGCAAACAGCTCATGGAATTTTTTGACGCTACAAAGCCTACTCATAATACACCTCATCATTGTTTGAGTGTAGATTGTTGAGTATAGATACAGATACCTAGTTTCCAATCCTGACTCTGTGACGAAAAAAGCACTCTCAACCTGGGCAAACTTTGACCTGTCTGAGCCTCAGTTTCCTTATCTGTAAACTGGGTACCTAAACATCCACCTACCTTGTAGGGCTGCTTTGAAGCTCACAACCTACATGTAAGGCTCTGGTATACATAAAATACCGTTCAGCATTTCATCCACAAACGTTTATTGATGCCCTACCATGTGACAGGCACTGCACTAGGTGCTGGGAAGTCAGGAGGAAACAAAACACACAGTCTTCACCCTTCACCCAACCTCTTGGAGTTTACACGCTAGTGGGGGAGGCAGACATTAATCCAATAATTGCACAAAGAAACATATAATTACAAATTGTGGCAAGTGCAGGGGGGAGAGGGGACACGTAGGATGGGAGCTGTAACACGGTATTGGTCTGTGTTAAGTCACAAGAACCCAGCCTGGTTTCCTGGTGGTTGCTATAGCAGGTGGGCGAGCTGGCAGGGGCTTCTCGGGCAGGGCTGTCCAGGCAGCCCTGAGGAAGCTGGGCCTCTGCTGGCCACTCTGACAGGAGCCCTAGGGTGTCAGAACAGATACCTCAGGGCATCCTGGCTGGTGGCATTGGCATGGGCTCCCTGGCACTCTGTTCACAGTGGCTACTGACAGGGTATGTGCAGTGGGGTGAGGGGACAGGAATGAGCAGACAGATGGCCTCCAGGCACCCCTGCCTCTCTCCCTATTAGGCTGCTGATCCAGGAGATGAAGTGGCTTCTTTTCCTGCCTCAGCTGGGACAGAAGAGCCACAGTCTGTTCCATAGGTGGTCATTGAGCACCTACGATATGCTCAGCACTGCGCCTCCAGCTGTGTGACATTCAAGGGAATGTAGCCGCATTTCTGTCTTCAGGGGGCTTACAGGGAGCTCAGATGTGCACACGTATATTTTAGACAGTTAAATAGTTGTGCAAAATGAGACTGGAAACAAAAATAGGCATTTCAGCCAAACAAACCCCTGTTCCATGTCTAGCCAGGTCCTGGGGCTTCTGGAGTGGTGGGGAATGGGAGGGGTTGAAGCAATAGGGTCTAAAGGAGGCTCAGGGCAGGGTGGAAGGTTGCGGGGGCAGCGTCAGTTCCTGGGGACAAGGGATGTAGGAAAAATGGTTGGGATAGAGAGGAAGGGAGCGGAAATTCAAAGTTGGGGGATGGGAGAACATGGCAGCTCCATTCTCATAGGGGTGGAAGGAATTGGGATTTCCGACCGCACTGCCTAGAGGTTTCGGGGTTTGTCCAGCTGACCCCCCACAACCCGCATCCCAGGGAAGGCCTCCTAGGGCCTCAGAATCCAGCCTTGTAAGGAGGTCAGCCCAGCTCAGAGGCCTGGGCTCTCCGATCAGCCATCGGAGGAGGTGCGGGTGTGGGGGGAAGGTGCAGGCTTTGCGGAAAGCCCAGGTGGGCTCCCATCCCCCTCCCAGGCTGAGCCCTGGACTGGTTTCCCTCCAGGATGGCTGGGCAGCTTGGGCCCTCCTCCAAAGCCAGGGACAGATTAACTGTGATGCGACTGACAGTGGTGCTAATGGAGGTGTCAGGTGTGTCACACTGGCCTGGTAAGCGAGCAGACCTGCCCCCTGCTGAGCCCTAGGGTCACCCACATACACGACAGCCACTCAGGAGGTGCAGGCATTTGGGAGGCCCCCGTAGGGCAGGACAGGGTGGGCCTTGTTCAGGAAAACAAGGCCGCTTTCCTCTACTTCCGAGGCACCTCTTGAAGTCTCACAGTACACATTGGGTTTAATCCAGCAGCCCTGTCTTCCAGGCCAGCCGGGCACCAGACACCGTGTTGGGTGCTGTGGACACAGTGAGCTCTCAGACCCAAGTCTCCTTCTGAGGTTGCTCCTAGGCCAAGTTGGGAGACATGGGTCATAATAATAACAGCAAAGGCTCCTGTGGCACTTCTGAGGTAATTGATGTATATGAACTAATTTAATCCTCCCAACGATTAGTACCTCTTCTGAAAAAGGTACAAATACTATCTACATCTCGTAGGTAAGGAAACTGAGGCCCAGAGAGGTTAAGTAACTCACCCAGGGTCTTACTGCCAGTAGCATCAGAATCTGGACCCAAGCAGGCTGGCTCTAGGATCTGTGTTCTTAAACTCCAGCGCTCTGCTGATGAATGGTCAAGGCGTGGGGTGAGTGGGGTGGGACACTTGGAGGACAGCTCTAGGAGAGTTTGCTCAGGGGCTTGAGCAGGTCTGCTTCGAGATAGGAGGTAGAAGGAAGACTCAAAAGGCCTTGACAGCTGCCTGGATATGGGAGTGAAAGAGACGTAGAGATTATTAGTGTTTGGAGTTTGGAGGATGAGAGACGATGGTACCACTAGTGGAAATGGGAAGTGTGACAGGGAGCCAGACTGTGTGGCTATGGGACAGGTACAGTGGTGTTCTTCCCAGGGGAGAGGAGAACAGAGGTCTGGGAGTCCCCACGAGGGGGGCTGGCAAAGGTCAGGAGTAGGGGGATGTCAGAGAGATAAGAAGGGACCAGGGGGAGGGCAGCCATAGTCAGGGAGCTGAGAGAAGAGAGTTCAAACAGAAATATCAACTTACTATTGTGAAAAAGAGGGCCAGGGGGTGAGAACCAGGGATCTGCTGAGAAAGGGCCGTTTTCTTGGAATGATGGGGGTGGAAACGAGTTAATCTTATAAAGCTTTACTGAGTCTTTAGGACATGGGCCAAATTGTGTCCTAATTGGTTTAAATACAGTATCTTATTTTGTGAGTTTAAATTTCACAATAACCCTAGAAGGTGGGTACTAATGACATGCCCATTTCACAGATGGGGAAACGGAGGACCACAGATTATGTCACTTGCCAGGGCAAGGAGAAGGTGCATGTCCCTTCTCCAGAAGTCACTTCTGGGCTGGCCCTCTAATTTGGGGTTCCCCTGGTTTGGGGTCCCCCTGCCTTTGCTGTGTTTCCAGTCCACACAAGACCAAACCCAAGCAACCCAACTGAGCAGAACCTGAGTCAGAGGAAGTGGACTCAGGGTCAGAATTAATCTAGCCCTCCAGTGGGGTGAAGTGGGGTGAAGGGTGATGAAAGCACTTCTCCTGCCTTCCCTGAAGTCCCCCTGCTCTGTCCTTGAATATTCTGCTACTTGAGGATTTGTCCCTGTTAAACCAAATTCCTCTGGGTTGGGCTGCTATCACTCACTCACACCTTCATGGTGAGTAAGTAGGTTTTAAAAGGGTGTTAAGGGTACTGGGTCTTCACCTGGAGAAGGGAGAGGGTTCCCAGGAGCTGGGGGGCTGTCACATCACCCAAACTTCGACCCCCTGGATTGAACCAGTTGCTTCTCCTTTGAACCCCACCACACGCTGAGCACCGGGAGGGGCCCATACTATGGCTTCAGTTAGGAGTGTCTTATCCCTGGTTCACACATGCACAAGCTGAACTCAGACACAGGAGCCACAGTCAGTGCAGTACAGCTGGGGTTGCACAGCACCTCTGCCATCAAGCCTCACTGTCTGGGCCTGTGAGGCTCGATGCTCTTCTTCCTCCCAGCAGCTTCTCAGAGTAATGGACTGACTCAGTTAGTTTAGGGCGAACCCCTCAAGGCCTGTCAGCCCTCGGGACTTGTAAGCATCAGGGAAACATACCTTTTCCTGTTTTCCCTGCCTGGGAGAGGGAGAGGCTCATTAGGAGCAGACCTGCCGCTTGGTTCAGAGGAGGCTATGGACAGAGCTGCTTGGTGTGCTGGGGGGCAAGCCTGGAGTCTTTGCCAGCGTCCCCCATCCTTGCTGGCCTGCTGAGGCTCACACACCCCGCTCTGTCACTCCTGCCCCACGCGTTCAGAGACCCACAGGACACTGGCTCCCTGCCAAGAGGCCTGGTGCTGCTACTGACCAGCTGTGTCTGGCTTTTGCTACTGCCTTCCCCTGCCTCTGGGCACCTCCTTCTTCCCCAGTTCTGGAGATTTCGGTCTCCGAGCTAATCTGACTCCCTGCAGCCATCCCTGGAACCTTGGCTGTGATTGCTACTGGGGTGAGTTGGCACAGGAATCTCAACCTCAGCTGCAAGTTCAAATCCCCTGAGGAGCTTTTTTTTTTTTTTTTTAATTTATTTATTTAGGCTGTGTTGGGTCTTCATTTCTGCGCGAGGACTTTCTCTAGTTGCGGCGAGCGGGGGCCTCTCTTCATCACGCGGTGCGGGCCTCTCACTGTCGCAGCCTCTCTTGTTGCGGAGCACAGGCTCCAGACGCGCAGGCTCAGTAGTTGTGGCTCACGGGCCCAGTTACTCCGCGGCATGTGGGATCTTCCCAGACCAGGGCTCGAACCCGTGTCCCCTGCATTGGCAGGCAGATTCTCAACCACTGTGCCACCAGGGAAGCCCCCCTGAGGAGCTTTTAACAATTCCCCTGCACAGGCTGCACCCCCAGACCAATTGATTCTGAATCTCTGGGGTGAGGCATCAGCATCAGGATTGCCAAAGCTCCCTGGGGGATCTGATGTGTAACCAAGTTTGAAAACCAGTAATTTCATCTAGAGAGGTTAGTGGCTCTGGAAGCACATTAGAATCAGCCAGGGGACTTTTAAAAACTACCTGTGCCTGAGCCCTATCCAGACCAATTAAATCACGCCTTCTGGCAGTGAGATTAAAAAAAAATTCTCCCCAGTGATTTTTTTGGGTATCCAAGGCCATGGCTATGACTGGGGTCCTCCTATAGCCCCTGAGCATGTTGGCTGTCACTGATCTAGTCACCTGAGGGACTGGTGTTGGTGGTCAGTTGTTGTGGTGTGCCCACGTGCCACAACTACTGAAGCCCACGTGCCTAGAGCCCGTGCTCCGCAACAAGAGAAGCCACTGCAATGAGAAGCCCACGAACCGCAACGAAGAGTAGCCCCCGCTCGCCACAACCAGAGAAAAGCACGCGCGCAGCAATGAAGACCCAATGCAGCCAGAAACAATAAATAAATAAAATAAAATAATAAAATAAATAAATTTATTTTAAAAAACAAAAAAAACAAACAAAACTATCCCAGGTGTGGCCCAAATGCTAAAGTGGAGAGAAGGCTTTTTTTTGTTTTAATTTCTTTTGGGCTGTGTTGTGTCTCCCTTGCGGTGCGCGGGCTTGTCATTGCGGTGGCTTCTCTTGTTGCAAAGCACGGGCTCTAGGCACGTGGGCTTCAGTAGTTGTCGCTCGCGGGCTCTAGAGAGCAGGCTCAGCAGTTGTGGCGCACGGGCTTTGTTGCTTCGCAGCATGTGGGATCTTCCCGGACCAGGGATCGAACCCATGTCCCCTGCACTGGCAGACGGATTTCCAGCCACTGCATCACCAGGGAAGCCCAGGAGGCATGTTTATAGAGATCCAACGCATGCCAGGCAGTTTTACCAATTTGTCTCCACAGCTATTCTGTAGGGCCGTTATTATCCCTACTTTAAAATGATTTTGTGGCTCAGAGAGGTTAAGCGACATCTCCAGGTCCCAGTGCAAAGGGCCCAGCATCCAAGTCCACACCCCAGACATTTTCTACTCTTTCCAGATCACCAGCCTACCTTCAGAGGCCTAGATTTTATTTTTCTTTCCATAATAATTCTCCTCAGAGAGACATAGTTTTTTGTTTTTCACAAAAATTTAAAGGATTTCTCTAAATGGTGGGCTTCTATGCCTGCCCCATTTTACATTTTGGTAACAAAAATCCAGTTGCTGCACAACGTACTGGGCATCCCTTCATTTCCTGAACAGTTTCTACCCTGATGCAGGAGAATCCGCGTCCCACCCCCATGCCCCATGGAGGCTCATCTGAAGGGAGACAGCGCCTCCTTCTGGGGGTTCTGGAACTCCAAGGCCGACTCCCTGCAGACTTGAGGAGATGGGCCGCGGCCATGGGCCAAATGATGAGATATTCATAGAACACAGGCCTGGGCAGCCGCCTCTGTGTGCCCCATTTAGAACTGAAGGCTGGAGACCCAGCTCCCCCATGCCTCTTCCACCTTTCCAGACCCTGACCCTGCAGAGAGACCCGGGCATCTGCCCCATCCCTGGGCATCCCTGGAGGACTGCTGGTACCAAGGGTTAACCTGCAACCTCCACCTCCCTCCTCTGCCTCTGGTCTGCTAGCCTGTTGCCATAGAAACAGGCTAAAAATAAAATGGGCTCCCAAAGCCCAGCCCCAAGCTCAGGAGTCAAAACAAACTAATTAAAGCAGACAGGCTAAAATGTGAAGATAATTACACCCTCACTCAGGAGCCAGTCTGGCATGGAAAAGCTCAGCAGGCCATCCTGAGTCAGGACCCCTGGGTCCATCCCTGACATGCGGGGTAGCTCCCCACCACTCAGACTCCTTGAACCCCAGGGTCCCACCGGGAGAGCCCACCCTGCTTAGGCCTTGGATCTGCAGAGCACCACACTCACACTCTAACGGCCCCACCCCTGATAAACTGCAGTATGGCTTCATGCTGGGATCTGTGCCCCATCTGGGGTGGCCAAGAGAAGGTGGGGTGAACTGAAGTCTGAGGCTGCCTTTCTACATCTTCCCTGAAATTCAGGGAAGTCCCAATGCAGCTTTGGCGCTGCCTCTGTCCCTAAGACCTTTAAAGGCTTCAAGATAGTTCCTTTGTCTCCTGGGCTGCTGCCTCTTCACCGAGGGCCCTCAGAGCCAGGTGGGTGTTCCTCCAACCCCTTTTGGCCCAGGAGCGTGAGAAGGCCACGCAGGTGGCCCCATTCTCAGGCTACGCAGGTGCTGGGTCAAGTCCATCCCACCATGGGCCCTTTGCCTTACAGGACCATCAAGGTGGAGGTATACGACTGGGATCGAGATGGCAGGTAAGCTGGCAGAAGGACAGAAGGTGAGCAAGGAGGGGGACAGCCCCTGGGAGAAAGGTGGATCTTGCCCTCTCATGGAGAGAGCTATGCCCAGGTCCCCACCCATGGCAGCTTGGGGGGTGAGGGGCCTGGGTTTCCTGTGAAGGGACCACTGCCTTGGTGGCTCATCCGTGCCCAGCTCCACTGAGGCACCAGAGGGCCTGTGTCCTGCAGGACATGGTGCAAGGGGTGTAAGAGGCCTCTTTTCCTGAAATAGCTGCCTAGCGACCAGCCAGTATCTAAAGTCTCCCCACATTTGGAAGAATGTAGGATTTTCTGAAATGTGCATGTTCTAAGGTGCAGGCAGATATTAGTGACCTCCTGGGCATTCATGACCACATTCTCTGTGTGAGGCTAAGCATCGTGTGGTGACTGAAGTGCAGAAGATGAGCTTGGCTCTCAGAGACTCCCTGAAATCTAGCAGGAGGCCCTTGACTCCTCAGAGGAGTTGTTTGTGGGGAGCAGGGCTGGCGGAGTGGGATATGGGAAAGGCAAGCATATGAATGGGCTCCGGAGCGGTAAGGCAGAGCCTGAGTAGGGCTGAGCCTAACCTTGGAGAGGCCAGGGGCTTCCTCTTCTGTGTATCTAAGTGCCCCCAAGGAGCCAGTATCACTGGGAATTCATAGACAAGGACCAGAACAGGCCTCTCACAACTTTAGTAGAACCCTCACCGGCTCCTGCTTGTCTGTTGAACCAAATCCAACCAAATCCAAGTATGTCATACTTCCTGACTTTTGTGAGCCCTCCATCCTGTGGTGCTACCAGGGGGGTCATAGAGGGGCTTTAAGCCCTCTGATCTCCACTGGTGCCTATCCAGTCTGTGACATGGATGGGGGATGCCGTGAAGGGCTGTGCAAGTACAGCTCTAAGTTAGGCCGGAGCTCCTTCCAAGGAGCTCACCTGCCCAACACCTTCCTGTAGAGAAACTCTAATGCCAACACTACTCTACCAGCTCACTCTGTCCCCTCCTCTCTTCGCTTTAACCACATCACAGGCAAGTCAGCTTCAGGCTTCCACCCACGATTCACCTCATCACCTTACCCTGGAGTTCCCCATACCTTTCCTTTACCAGGGAAGCTGGAGACAGCTACCAGATGCCATTGGGTCCCACCATCAAGGAGCTCATAGTCTGAATGCTGAGAGCTGTAAATATGTAGACAAAAGACAGTGTGGACTCAAGGTGGGGCAAGGCCCCAGGGGTACCTCCTGGGCATCACACTCCAGCAGGCATTCCTGGCCAGCATGTTAACCACTGCCCTCTATCAGGCAGAGTGGTGGCGAAAGGCAGCCAACCGCAGGGCAGATGGGAGTTCTGCTTTGTACAAGGTTTTGCTGCACTTACTGTCAACACATGCTTGTGGGGCAGAGATGCAGAAGGTGTAAACACTGCAGAAAACGCCTCAAGCTGCCTGGACGGACCTAAAGCTAATTGTCTTTTCAAAAAATGTTATTGGAAAAATGTCAAGTACACAGAAAAGTAGAGAGAAGAGTTTAATGAACACTTTAAGCCTATTACCTGAATCTAACAAGTGTTACATGTTGCCATAGTTGCCTTGTCTATGTTTTGATGTAGTTTAAGTTACAGTTCATGGCATTTTTACCTCTAAATATCTCATTGAGAATGTCTAAAAGATAAGGGCATTTTTCTAAATAACTACAAATGTCATTATTGCACCTGACACATTGAACAATAATTCTTGAATACCATCTAATATTCATTTCATGTTCAAATTTCCCCAGTTGTCCCCAAAATACATACTATTGCTCGTTCGTTCAAATAAGAATCCAAGTATTAGAAGTGGGTCCTATTCTCCAGGACCCTACTCCTTGCTGGGTGTCTGTTGGGTTTCTTACTCCATGGGTGACACTGGACTCTTCCCAGGGGCCCACCCTCTCTGCTGGTGTGTACCCCTGGAGCAGAGGCCCCGGGCAGAACTGAGAGCCAGGGGAAGGGACATGAGAGGCGGGGGGATGAGCAGAGGCAGCGCACAACCTGGGCCTCGTGGTTCAGCAGCAACTTTCCCTTGCAGCCATGACTTCATCGGGGAGTTCACCACCAGTTACCGGGAGCTGGCCCGCGGGCAGAGCCAATTCAACATCTATGAGGTGAGGCAGACACCTGAAGGCTGGGGTTTGCTCTGACTATATGTAGCTCCCAGTTGCTGAGGACTAACAGTGAGCCATGGCTGGGGTTTTTTGTTTGTTTGTTTTTTTGTGGTCCGCGGGCCTCTCACTGTTGTGGCCTCTCCCGTTGCGGAGCACAGGCTCCGGACGCGCAGGCTCAGCGGCCATGGCTCACGGGCCCAGCCGCTCCATGGCATGTGGGATCTTCCCGGACTGGGGCACGAACCTGTGTCCCCTGCATTGGCAGGTGGACTCTCAACCACTGCGTCACCAGGGAAGCCCGTGGCTGGGGTTTTTGCATGTTCTCCTGTGAGGTGGGTGTTATTGTCCCATTTCACAGTTAAGGAGACTGAATCGCAGAGAAGTGAGGGGACTTGACCAAAGCCCAGTAAGTGGCAGAATCAAGAGGCAAACAACCTAAGCTTATCTGACTCCAAATCATTGAGTTATAGTGCCCCCCCCCCGAGAGAGCTCTTCCAACAAGGAGGGGGAATAGAAGTACAGGTGGGCAGAAGGTGGGGAACAGTATCAGAAGGTTCCAGGCCCAAGACCTGAGGTCCTGAGTTCAAGTAGCCTTCTGCCTTTAATCAGAGCAGTCTCAGGGCCTGCAGAATATCTTCTCTTTTCTGGAAGGAAAGAGAGGAACAGGAATCAGGATACCTCCATCTAGACCAGAGAACCTTGGACAAGACACCCAATCTCTCTGGAGATAATATCGTCTGCCTTCCAAGGACACTTTCTACTGCTGAGCCTTTGCCTGTGTGTGTGCTCCCTCTCAGGATACCCTCCCACCTTCCACATCTAGCTCAGGTCCTACTCCTCTGGTGGCCTATTTTCTCCCACTTATGAACTTCATGGACAGCATAGTTCATGCCAGACCTACTGAACTGCAGATACTTATAACCCTAATTTACAGCCCAGGGTTCATATCCTGACTCCACCATGTATTAGCCATGCGACCCTGGCTGAGTTCTTGCCCCACTCTGTGCCATGCACACTGAGAATTAAATAAGTTACTAGAACAATGTCTGGCCACTAGTGAGCATTACGTCAGTGCTATCTCCTAGTTTCATCTGTTGAGCGCTTGGGTGCCAGGAGATTTACATTTCACAACCATCCTACAAACTGGGTCTATCCTTACATCACTCAGCTAGAGCTGGCTTTGACTCCCATCTCTGAACCCTAATCCCTGTATGCATCCACTCCCTCAACCTGTATCTCTGTTCCGAGTGGGCAGGTCTTGTGTTCCAACTAGACTGAAGCTCCCCAAGGGCAGACAAAGTGACAGCCCTTCCTGTTGCCCTGGTCACATTGGCCTGGGCCCTCCTGGGCACACAGTAGGTGCTTATTATACATTCACACTGAATTCAATTGAACAAGGCTATTTGTGAGAATGGAACGTGATGGATTTCTTTGAAAGAGCCATGATCCTCATAGTTAATTGCTTTGCTTTTTGTAAGGACAAAGGACGGAGCTGTCTCTGTCCCCTCACCCAGGCAGAGAGAAGCACGCTCCGTCTTTGGACTCTTTTTTTTTTTTTTTAGCGGTACGTGGGCCTCTCACCACCGCGGCCCCTCCCGTTGCAGAGCACAGGCTCTGGACGCGCAGGCCCAGCGGCCATGGCTCATGGGCCCAGCCGCTCCGAGGCATGTGGGATCCTCCCGGACCGGGGCACGAACCTGTGTCCCCTGCATCGGCAGGCGGACTCTCAACCACTGTGCCACCAGGGAAGCCCTGGGCTCTTTTAAGGACATTTTTAGGGAAGTGAAGGGAAGGGGTCAGGTCTCTTGGAGTTTGATTCTAAGGATGCTTGACAGGCTCAGATGAGGCCACGATCTCTCAGGCTTCAGTGACTTGTTTTCTCAGTCATTGGTCCCTGCCCCCTTGCAATCAATGAGAGAAACTGCAGCGCTGGCAAAAAGAAGTGCTGTCTTTACACATCTGAAACGCCATCAGGTAGAAAAGGAATTAACTCTGGCAGCCCCGGGGCAGGCCTTGCACCATGGAGGGCATCCCTGGGAGGCCGGTTTGGGCTCAGGAAGGCCCTTCTAGAGTCAGAAGTGCCTGAAGAGAGAACAGGCTTCTGCCAGGAAAGACCCTCATCTCAGGCCCCACCATCAGCCTGGGTGTCCAACGCATATGCCCAGCTGTCTTCTGGCCACTCCTTAGACTCAGCCTTCCCAAACTGAATGCACTGGCTAAAGTCCCTGCAGCCCTCCTCTCCCCCTGGCCAGCCAGCTCCTCCTCCTGTGTTGTCATCACAGCGGCCATGGCACCTGGGGAGGCATCCTTGACACCTCCTGCCCCTCATCCCACACCCAGTCCATGACTGAATCCTACTCCTCCTGCCACCTAAATATTCTGACATTTGTCCCCTTCATTCCCGTCTACCCCCACTGTCACCGTCTCCCCTGTGTAGGGGCTTTGTGACAGCCCCATAATGGCCTTTCCGCCTCCTTCCGTCCTCCAGTCAGTAACCCAAATACTCCTCCAAAATTGTAATTGACCACAATGCTGCCCTGCTTAACCCCCGACTGTGCATGTCACCCACTGCCTCTGCCTGGTTCGCACAGGGGAGGGGGGAGACTCCACACCAGCTGAGATCCTAAAGGGACCTTTACCTACAAGGGGAGTCCAAGCTCCTTCACACGGGTGCCATGCCCCAGTGACCCGCAGTCTATGTGCAACCGGCGGGGGGGGGGGGGCGGGGGAGGGTGTGTGTAAGCAGCCATATACATCACAGCTCTAGGAGCCCCTACGGTCTAGCCCTGTCCGCTTCCCTCTACCCATCCCCACTCTCAGCCCCATCATGCCATCTGAGGCTCTCTGAACCTCCATGCTGTCTCAGTCTCTGTGGCTTCATTTGTGCTGGTGCCTCCCTTGGGGTTCCCTTTGCTGTTCTTGCCTCAGGAAGCCCCCACCTGCACACCCACTCTACCCCAGGGTCTGAAGTGGATGCCTCTCCTTGGTGCTCGTGCTCTACCCCCCACCCCACTCCCATACCTATTACCTGTTTATCATACTTCCTGCCCCCTCAAAGACCACGATGTCCTCAGGAATGGGGGCAATGTCTTACCACTGTATCCAGAGTCAGCACAGCTGCTGGTCCTGGGAGCCCCTCAGTGCCCCTTGCACAGGAGGGCAGACCCCACACCTGCCCTGGAGACCCTGGGGATGTGAGGAGAGGGAGAGGAGGAGGCTTAGAACTCCAGCTCAGGAGTTGGGAGGTTGCTAGGCTGGCCCCTAGGGGGTGCAGCCGCTTAGGGCTGGAGAGGCTGGTGGGGTGGGGTGGGGGTGGGATGGGGGAGGGGCTGTGTGCCAGGTTATGCATGAAACCTCAGAACAAACAGCATGCTTTCTCAGTGCCCACTTCACAGAAGATCTGAGAACAAAACAGTGCTTTAATATTAAAACAGTTATAATTAGAGAGTGGAAATGTGGAATACAGGCAGATTTAAAGATAACAGAGAAGACTTCAAAGAAATGTACTTGTGGCCAGATTTTTCGGTGATGCCCAGGCCCCCAGGAGTCCATGTTCATGCTCCTCCACTGGGAGAGCTACTTTGGAGTAAAAGTTCGAGATCCGGTAAATTCTAAACGTTCCACACCCTCATAGAACAGGTTGGGAAACTGAGGCACAGTCTAGTCTTGGGGCTGCAGTGTGCCCTCATTCCGACAGGCTGCCTAGCAAGCTGTCGTCCCATGAATATGTCAGTGAGCACCATGCCATCTGGGTGACTTTCATGCCTGTGGTGGCTCCAAGGTTGTTCTGGGCTTCTCTCCCCAGGCTCTCAGTTTCCACCTGCACAGCCTGCTAGCCTCCCACCTGCACTTCCCACCTGTGCCCGAAATCCAGTTTGTTCTTCCTTCTGTGTCTACCTAGTCACCCATGACTCCTCCCTCTCTCCTGCCTTCAGGGCCACGCCCAGCCCTGACTGCTTGGAAACACTTCTTCTTACCTGGTCACCGTTTTTTTCTGCAGGTGGTAAACCCGAAAAAGAAAATGAAGAAAAAGAAATATGTGAATTCTGGCACAGTGAGTAGCCACCCCCTTTCTGCCATGGGTGTAGACATCCCGAGCTAGGTCTGGTGGCAGGAGTCATGTGTGTCTGTGTGTGCTCCTGCGGGGTGTGGGAACGAGACCTGGAGGGTTAGGGGTGGGGAGGGATGGGGCCGATGGAGCAACACGAGGTAGACGTGTAAGAGACACATCAGGCCCTGTGATACAGAATGAGAAATCCCAGAGAGAAACTACCATGGGGACTTCCTGTGGAAGGAAGAGGAAAAGGAGTCGCATTTATTGGGCCCTCTGGGAAATTCCCCATTTAGGTGCTTTTCACAGGTTGTTTCCTTAAGAGGCAGACGTTATCATCACCTCATCATGAAAGCGGAAACCAAGGCTGCGGGCAGGGAAGTGACTCAACCAAGGTCACAGAGCTAGAAGGTGGTAGACATGGCAGTGAGCACAACAATTAAATTCAGAGCTTGCAGCTGCTGTGGGCTCTACCCCTGTTTAACCATGACCATGCTGGGATTATACCGGCCCAGTGGCTTCTGGGGGCTGATCTTCAGGACATTCGTGCCTTTCTTCAACAAATATTTACTGTGTGCTACCATGTGCCAGGTGCCTTTCCAGACACGAGGGATACAGCTGGGAACAAGAAAGACCCAAATCCCTGCCCTCCTGGTGCTTATCGTCTAGTGGGGGGGAGACAACACGAATATACACACAAATACCTGTGTGTGTCAGGTGGTTGTGATTGCTGTGGGAGGAAGTAGGGTGAGGTAAATGGATAGGGAATGCAAGAGATGAAACTACTATTTTATTTAGAGTAGTCAAGGAAAGCTTCTCTGAGAAGGTGACATTTGAGCAGAGATTTAAAGAAGGTGAAGGAGCAAGTATTGAAGATATTGAGGAAAACGAATTCTAGCTGTAGGGATCAGCATGTGCAAAGGCCCTGAGGTGGAGTCCACCAGTGCATTTATAGAACAAACCAATGTCTTTGCAGTGCAAACGCACCCAAGTCTGTACCCTTCGTGTCCCTCCCACTCTAGAGGGCCACAGCCCCATCACTTAATACAGCCAGATGTAGCCATTTGAGTCAGGCCAACTGCAACTCCAGACTAGAAGAGGTCACAGACAGGGAACTCCAGCATTCTTCCAAGGAACCTTATTTTCTCCATTTGTAAAATGAGGCTAATACATCATCCCTCCCCTGCTTAATGCACAGGGTGGCTGTGGCAGACACATGGGAGATGCAGGACTGTAAACTGCAAAGTACTCTGCTCATTCAGAGGGGGCTGACCACTGCTTCTCTGATTGTAATTGTTTCACACGCAGGCTTGGAGTAATAGTTCTTTTGTCTGAAGCTGCAGTGTTTCTCAGTGGGGATGCTATCGGTTTTTGGGAAAGAATAATTCTTTGTCTCACAGGACTTCCCCATACATGGTGGGATACTTAGCACCCCCGGCCTCAGCCCATAGCTAGCAATAGAGCCCCAGTCATCATGAGACCCCAAAACTCTCCCTCACATTCCCAAATGCCCCTAGGAGAGGCAACACGTTCCCCAGCTAAGAAATATTAGATGTACAGCTAAAAAAAAAAAGGTTGAAAACCACTGATCTCATCCAGCTTTCTTACTTTAGAGATAAAGAGACTGAGGCCCAGAGAGGAGATGTGATTTGTCTCAGGTCACACAGTGAGTTAGGCACAGAGCAGGACTGGGCTGAGATCTCCTGACTTTCCCTTGCTCCAGTATTTCCTAATCTTTACCATAAAAAAATCACTCAGGGTCCAGGATGCTTGTTAAAATACAGATGCCCAGGCCAGTTCCCTGGGGTTCCATTTTAGGAAAGCCAGGCTGGACCCCAGGAATCTGTATTTTGTGCTTCTCATACCTTACTTACTATGTGCAGAGCCTCCTGGGGATCTTGTTAAAATGCCAAGAATCTGCATTTCTACTCAGCATCAAGGTGATTCTGATGCTGTTGTTCGGGGACTATACTTTGAGTACCAAGTCCCTGGGTCAATCCATATGGCCAGGCAAGTTAGGCAATTACTTCATCCCAGTGCCTGGAGCAGGGTTCAACTCTGGCTGCAGGTTAGACTCATGTGAGGAGCTAAAAAAAAAAAAAAAATCCAGGGCTGGAGCCCTATCCCAGAAATCCTCATATTATTGGTTTGGGGTCCTCACTCCAGCTGCAAGATGTTTTAAAAGCTTCCCAGGGAGTCTAGTGACCACAGTCAGAGTAGAGGCCACTGTCACAGTCCATTCCTAGAGAAAGGAGGCTTTGTCCATCCAGGTGCCTAACACTGTAACCACAGCGAGTGGGGGTCTCCAAGGCCCAGCTCAGTACTCACAGACCCTCCCATTATTCGGGCTAATGGCTGGTCCCCTTTGTCAAGCAGAGGCACTACCTGGCCTCCCACTGAGTTGATAAAGATGACTGAATCTGTACCAGTAGGGGCCACCCCAAATCCTAGAGTGGAGTTGTCTGACACAGGTAAAAGGTTCCCTGCCCCAATCTTCCCTCTTTTAATTGATTTTAGCTGCCAACCTTTCCACTTGTTTCCACCATCCTAAATCATTTTCATAAAGCGCTGCCCGGTAGCTACTTGTCTTTGGAAAGCTGTTGCCAGAGAACTGCCAGGGGCATAGATCAAGAGACCTCTGCCTGGGAGAGGGGGCCCCAGATGCTCAGTTACCTCCAGGGAAAGGACAGGCTGTTTAGCAGGAGGGTCTTGTGTCTGAGAGGGTAGAGATCAAGATGCTAGAGGGATGAGGTGGGACAAGTAAGATTTAAAACAATTGCAGACCAAAGAGACACATTTCAGGATTAACAGTTAGCGGAACATGGAAGCATGGAGCTTGTCAGCATTGACAGATCTTAGTCCTATGTCAGGAAGACCCCCCTCTCCCTCCACACTCCACACCTGTGTCCACTCAGGGGCAACTCGATTCCTTGGCTTGAGCCCCTGTACTCCAGTGACAGAGACAGGGCCCTTCCAAAGATGCAGTTTGGCATCAAGGTCAAGAGCACAGGGTCTGGTTCCAGACGGACCTGGGTTCCCATCTCACGTGGCCATGTCCTGGTAGTGTCCTTGGACACACCGCATCGCTTCTTTGAGCCTCAGTTTCCTTGCTTGTAGAATGGAGATAATAATAGTGCCTCACAGAGTTGTTGTGGGCACTGTTTGCAATGAAGCAGGCAAATGCTGGCACGTGCTGGGTGCTCCATAGCTGTCAGCAATGCTCTCCCTCTGCCTAGTGCTCCCCGCTGACCAAGCGTCTTTTTGTTTTCAAGGTCACACTGCTTTCTTTTGCTGTGGAGTCAGAGTGCACATTTCTTGACTACATCAAAGGAGGGTGAGAAGAGATGCAGCCTGGTTTCTTCGGCCTCAGGGAGAGGGAAGGGGCCCCGCACATGGACATGAGCAGCTCCGGCCCCACCTGGCCTCTTCAAGGCCATGGCTGAAGCCCGCGATCATGGGCTCTGAGCAGACCCTCAGACAACTCACACAGAGCCCTGCATGCCCCTGATCCTGAGTGGCTGCAGAGGGCACTACTGAGCCGCGGAGGCCAGCCTGGGTCCCATGAGGTCCCTGTGTGGAGATGGGACCTGCAGGTGGTAGGGACTCCATGACAAAGAGAAATGGGCTTAGGGAGGTGGAAAGAGCCCCGGTCTAGGAGGCAGGAGGCCCAGGCCCTAGGCCCCTCTTTGCCTTGAATTTGCTGGGTTACTTTGGGCACGTCACTCTCCCTCCCTGGGCATCAGTGTCCTCTGCACAGAGAGTTGGAATTAAGTGAATTCTAAGCTTCCTTCCTGCTCTGAGCTTCTGATACCGATGGCCTCTCTGGTGGGGGGCGGGCAGTGATTAACCTTCCCAGTGTCATTAGAGACCTACAAAGGGCAGGAGGAACTGGGAAATGAGCCAGGGGATGGTCAAACACAAGTTTAAGGAGCAGAAAGAACCAGAAGGGTCGGCATCCAGGCAGGCAGAGAAGCCTGGTGGCTCCAGCCAACAGCTCATGGAAAGAGAGCCTGACTCCAAGGTGAGGTCCTACCCAGCACGCTCCCTGCCAGGACAGGCGCCAGGGCCGGGTGTGGGTAGCCGAGCCCACAGGTGCAGGCAGGTGAGCGATTACACCTGTCTGGAAAGGAGACAGGCAGGGCGGTTGCCAAAGGCTCATCCCAGCCAAGCGGGCTCTTGGCCGCCTGGTTCTCTGGGGCAGAGGGAAAAGTCGGGCCCTGGCAAGCCACACTTACTTTCTCATGACAAGGCTCCCTGCTGCCTTGAGCCTGCAGCGCCCAGGTTTCGAGCTCTCCTCCTACCCCCTGAGCACATGCCCTTGCTGCAGTCACCCACAGGCTTTCCTGCCCCTCCTCCATGCCTTCTCCAGGCCCTGCTCTGGCTCCCTTCCCCCATCAAAACTGCTCTATCTGCTCTCCATCTATTAAGCAACCACCCCTTATATTCCATGGTAATTTTCAAACAGTCCTCATCCTGTTTATCCTTCTCATTTGCATAGTGCCCCCAATTTACAGAACACAATGGGCTGGGTGAAGATGATTGTCTCCATTTTACGTCACGTGTCCAAGGCCCCAGCACTTAGTCGGTGGCAGGGTTCTTTCCGTCACCACATGCTGCATTTCTTCCATAGTAATGAACCCACCTCGCAGCTCCCAGGTGAGGTGTGATAGAGATGGATGAGTTGAAGGGCTGGGTGCTGTCTCATTGAGAAGGAGCTCACAGAGGCAAGCCCTGGCTTTCCTCCTCCGCTGTCTTCACACTCTGGAGAACCTGAGTGAGAGGCCGACGTGTGTGTCCAGGCAGGCAGCTGATGGAGGCCTCTGTCTAGGGATTCTCTCCTGCCTGGCCTCCCTCCCCCGCCCCCCTGGACCAGGAGGAAGGCTGTGGGTTCCTCTGCCCCCACGTCAGAGTCCGAGATGGAGCTGGTTGCTGAGCAGCCTGCAAGGAGTACCTTTTCCACAAAAGTAGCTGCTTTCCAGTCCCTTCCTTCTCTGAGCTGTTTCAGAACCCAGAGCAGGGTTTTTACTTAAGGAGTAAAAAAAAGCCTGACTCTCCCCTCACGCTTTATTTGGAAGAGCCAGGCCAACAATGTCCCTCAGCTGTAGTCCTGCAGGCCAGTACCACCTCTTGTCGTCTTGTGGCTCCTTCTCCCTCAGAGCTTGGAGTCTACTGAATGCTCTGTCCCCAGGCAGCGGACGAGGGGGAAAGAGTGTGGCGAGGACTGTCTCTGGCCAGCAGACCCTGGGTGGGGTATCCTGCTAACCATGCCCCTCACCTTTCCTGGAGATTGAAGGGTCCCTGAGCAGCAGCTCAGCTGTGATGAAGTGGAAAGAGGGCTGTGCTTTCTGATAGGGACCATCTGCTAAATGCAGGTGAGGTGAGCCCTGCCTCATCTTTTTTAAAAAAAATAAATTTATTTATTTATTTTTGGCTGCATTGGGTCTCCGCTGCTGCGTGCGGGCTTTCTCTAGTTGCAGCGAGTGGGGCTACTTTTTGTTGCAGTGCGCAGGCTTCTCATTGTGGTGGCTTCCCTTTGCTGCAGAGCACGGCTCTAGGCGCGTGGGCTTCAGTAGTTGTGGCGCACGGGCTCTAGAGCGCAGGCTCAGTAGTTGTGGCACACGGGATTAGTTGCCACGGCAGTAAAGGTGCCCAGTCCTAATCACTGGACTGCCAGGGAATTCCTAATTATCTTTTCATCTTGTGATTCCCCCAAGCACCTGAAGGATTTGCTAAAAGAGATTCCTGCAGCACACCAAGGGATTTGGATTCAGTAGGTCCACGGGGCGGCCTGAGACTCCTTACAGATTCCCAGGTGATCCTGATTCTGCTGGTCCATGGGTGCTCTTCCAGTAGCGCTCCTACAGAATTTTCCACAGACCCACAGACTGGCTTTTATTGGCCGCATCCCCCATGGTGTCATTTAACATATTCCTCTATCCCCTGCGTTTCCTGTAAACAACCAGTAGATAGTTCTGGAAGCTCAGTTAGATTCCAGTTCAGTTTTTTGGCAAGACGACTTCATTTGTTCTTCCCTCAGGAGATGCACAATGCCTGTTTGTCTTTCTTTTTTGCCAAATAAGTTTTAACCCTGAATCTGACTCCAAATTTGCGCCAGGAACACAGGGAAACCCTACTTCCCCGGCCTCAGGTGGACCCAGGGGCAGGGTTTGGAGAGGAAATAAGAAATCACAGCCATGTGTGCAGCAGAACATGATCACCTTCAGAGAGCTGTCACACTGCCTAACTCTTGCTGCTGACAACAGCCCTTTGGGGGAGGGTGTAGCTGATGATACCATCCCGGTTTTCCAGAACTGGAGATGAGTGACTTCACCAAGGCTACATACCTGTCAAGCAGTGGGGCTGGGGTGGAAGCCAGGTTTCTCGCTCCCTGTCCAGTACAGGCCGGCCTCTGTCCAGGTTACTCTACTGCTGTTCTTCCTCTTCTAGGACCCAGATCAACTTCACGGTGGCCATCGATTTCACAGCCTCCAATGGTGAGTGGGGGCATGGGCAGAGGAGCTGAATGGGGGCTGGGGGCCTGGAAAGGGGAGGGCTTTTCAGGGCTGTGGTAGTTGGCCCTAGCTGGGAGCAGATCTCCCATACCCTCTGGCCTCATCCTCACTGAAGAGGAGGAACTTAGGCCTAGAGAACCAAAGATGCAACCAAGGTGGCGAAGGTACCCCCAGATTGGATCATGGTCACCAACAAATCTGGCCTCTGGGCCTACATACCCTGAGCCACAGCCTTGCCCTTGAGGATACCCACTCTCCCTAGGGCAATAGGACAGCTTCTCTGGGCCCATGGAGAGCCCTGGAGCAGAGGTATTTCCTCACAGGATCAGATTGCACAGCCCCTGTGCAGTTCACCCCACAAGCTGGAGGGGAGAGCCAGAGGCAAGACTGAGCCTTGTGGTCCTCAGGGAGGCAGGAATGCCCAGGAGCTCCGGTCCTCACCCTTGCTCGGGCTTCCTTCCTCCTCTGACCTTCTCCAGTGTCGGGCTGTGACCAAGTGGCCGGGAGCAATCAATGCCAAACTTTACACTGTTAGAAACATCACAACCTTCCTTGGATTCTGGACCCCCATTAGCAGTGCTCAATGCTCATTTTTGTGCCAATCAGAAGATGCTCAGGTCTCGTACTCCACAGGTGTGTCAGAAACCCCCCTCATGGCTGCGGGCCCTCCCATCACAGAGTGATGGGATGTCAGAGCTGGCAGTGGCCATAGTATTCATAACAGTGAGGAGAGTTATAATAACATCTGTTTAATCCTCACAACAGTTCTGTGAGGTGGGGACTGTTATTACCCCCATTCTACAGATGAGGAGACTGAGGCTGAGTGGTTAAGAAACTTATGCAGGATCACACAGCTAGTAGGAGGTAGAAAGGATTAATACTTGGCAGTCTGTGCTGTACTGCCTCTTGTTAATAAACGAGTAACTAAAATATGGACAATATTAGTGGTGACAAGGGCTGTGGAGAAAAACAAGTCAGGAAGAGGGATAGGGAGTATGGAGGAGGCTGTAACTTTCAATAGGCTGCTCGGGGAAGACCACAGCAGACCTCAAGAGGTGAGGGAGCAAGCCATGTGCACATCTGTGGAAAAGCGTCCCAGAGCAGAGGGAACAGCCTTTGCCGAGGCCCTGAGGTGGGAATGGTGAGAGGCCAGAACTGAGTGAGTGACAGGATGGTAGGAGATGAGGAGAGAGGTAACCGCAGGCCAGATCAAGTGGGCTTTTGTGGGCCCTTGTAAGGACTTCAGATTTAATTCCTGGTGAAACGGGAGCACTGGGGCATTTTGAGCAGAGAAGAGGTGTGATTAGCTGCCTGAGTTTTGACATAGACTCACTCTGGCTGGTGTGCTGAGTATGGACACAAGGGTGGAAAGACGGAGATCGGGCTGCTGCGGTCCTATGAGCAAGAGGGTGGTATCATGGAGGAGGGGAGAAGTATAGGTGGGATTCTGGATGTATTCTGAGGGTTTAGCAGCCATGATTTGCTAAAGGATTGAATGTGCGGTAAGAGAGAAAGAAAGGGGTTCCCTTGGACACCGCATTCTGAGCCTGGTGGCTTGGAGTGTCCAGGCCGGCAAATGTCCCCATGCCCTGTCTTGCAGGGAACCCCTCGCAGTCCACGTCCCTGCACTACATGAGCCCCTACCAGCTGAACGCCTACGCACTTGCACTGACCGCCGTCGGGGAGATCATCCAGCACTACGACAGCGACAAGATGTTCCCTGCCCTTGGCTTTGGGGCCAAACTACCCCCTGACGGCAGGGTATCCCATGAGTTCCCGCTGGTAGGAGGTCCTGGGAGAAAGGGCTGAGGGCTGACCAGGCTGGGGGTGTGGTGACGGGCCTGGGGTGGGGGGCATTCCCATCCTGCCCGCCTAGGGACTTGAGGTGCAGTCTTTGCAGAGGTAGGCTGCTTGCTGGATGTAGGGGAGCTTGTATCAGAGCTTCCAGAAACCCACTCCCCACCTCAGTCACGAGCACGTCCCCTCCAAGTCTGAAGCCGTCCACAGTGGCATCTGCCCTCCTTTTCCTAACAAGACCCAGGTGGAGGTGGAGTGGGGATGTGGCTGAACTATTCCCCAAGGCCCCAGAAATGAGGCTAAAAGGGTGTGGGTTGGGTATGGACAACTGTGGGTAGTTCCAGGAGTTCCCTGGGTTGGTCTGAAATGGGGGCCCTGTAGAGATGGCTTCTCAGGCCACCTCCTTTCCCTCCCTCCCATGAGCTGGGGACACTCAGTCGGTTGCTGGATCACTCACAGCAAATGTCCCTCCCATGCCCGTAGGGTGCCAGGCACCGTGCTGGGCACAGGACACAGGAGGATGGAGCAGCTGCTGGCCCTTCCAGAGCAGCTCAGACTCTGCAGTCATTTTAGGGGGTGGTGGGTTTGCCCGAGGTTCCCTAAGCAGCCAGGACTCTGGGGGTCAGGGGGATGCTGTCTGAGCAGGTACAGGGAGTAGGGCAAGGAGCAGGTCTGGACCCTGCTCACCTAGAGCATGTGCTGCCCTTCGCGGTGGGCCCCGAGTGCTCCCTCCCCTGTCCCGAGCCCCCGAAGCCCCACCAGAGAAGAGTCTAGGAGAGCCCAGGCCTGTTGACCTCCCCAACCCTGGCTCTGCCCCCACAGACCACCCAGCTGCCCTCCTTCCCATCCCTCCTTCCTTCCTGGGTTCAGCCTCCTTGCCCTCTGTGCCCCCAGAACGGCAACCAGGAGAACCCCTCATGCTGTGGCATCGATGGCATCCTGGAGGCCTACCACCACAGCCTGCGCACGGTGCAGCTCTACGGCCCCACCAACTTCGCCCCCGTGGTCACCCATGTGGCCAGGTGAGTGTGGCGGTCACTGGACCATCCCCACAGCTTGCAAGGTGCTTCCTTCTACCACTGTCCTCCCGGGAAGGCGGGAGGGAGTGTCTCTTCCCACTGATTTGCTTTTCAGGGAGGCCTGACCCTAAAGAGAGCCCCTCCCACCGAAGAGCTGTCCCCACCAGTGTTAAGGGTCCTTGTGTTGGGGGGATGACATGCCCAGAGTCCCACCAGACAGACCTCTGACCTCACCCTGCCCCAGGAATGCGGCCGAGGTGCAGGACGGCTCCCAGTACTCGGTGCTGCTCATCATCACGGATGGGGTCATTTCAGACATGGCACAGACCAAGGAGGCTATCGTCAATGTGAGCAGGGATGGGGATGGAGCATGGGGAAACCTGGGGGTGCACCTCCCCCCTCCTTTAGGGAAACCCTTGGGGCATGACTTCTCCTCTCCCTGCCCTCTTTGGGACCACTCCTGGCTTCTTGCTGTAGAGCCTAGAGGGCCAGCAGTAGGGTTTTGGGGGTGGAGGGTGTTCCGGCTGATGAAAGATCTGGCTGGCGAGCTCTCTACCTACCTCTTCATCACACTGGATGGTCCACTCCATCCAGACTCCTATGGTGCCCTCATTAACCCATCTCTAGGGCTGCTGCCCCAAACCCCAGCCTGGCTTGGCCAGGTAGAAGAGGAGGGAGGTCCAAGGAGCGGGAGGCCCAGGAACATGGCTCCCCCTACCGGGTCGTCTCCCTATATAGGGGACCCAGCCACAGCTGGCCCTCCCTCTGGGCCCACGTAAAAGCTGTCCCACATGACGGAGGTCCAGAGGCAGAAGAGGGGACAGGAGTGTCTTGCAGAAGCAAACCTATGACCCATTTCCCCCTCTCCCTCCTGCCCTCTCCACCCCCGCTTCCTCTCTGGTATCCCTGTATCCTTGGCTATCCTCTCTCCCTCCTCCTCCCCCTTTTCTGTGTTTCTCTGTGTGTCTCCATCCTTCTCTCTTCCATTTCCTCCCTGTCCTCCTGCCTTTCTTCTTTTGACTCACCCCTTCCTGTCCTTACCTGTGATCTCCCTTTTCTTGTAACTGGCCCCTCGGCTGGGTACCACCCCGCCTACCTCCCGTGTTGTGTCCCAGGCCGCCAAACTCCCCATGTCCATCATCATCATCGGCGTGGGCCAGGCAGAGTTCGATGGTGAGTCCCCACCCCCTAGATGCGCCCCCAGAGGCTTCAGGCCCTTGGAAATGGCCCCTCCCAAAAGAGTGAGAGCCCGCACCGCGGTGTGTGCAGCTATCTGGATGAGCAGGCAGGGTGTGAGTGTGTGTTTGTTTGCACAGGGAGGGGTGTGTCAAGGTGTGTACCGCACACCCACACACCAAGGCTGTGGGGAGGAGGCCCCAAGTCACTCCTCCCTCCTCCACCCTGGGAGCCTGTGGAGGGTGGGGGAGTGGCACCATGGGCTAGAAGTCAGAGACTCATGCGATTGGGCTCCTCCTGTCTCCTGGCCTCAGTTTTCTCATCTCTAACGTGGGGGTCTGGGCTGGCGGTCTCGGTCCTGCCAGGCCCAGGTGCCCACCAATTAGTCCCCCCACCCCATGCCTTTGCCCCTCCCCCCCCCACAGCCATGGTGGAGCTGGATGGTGATGACGTGCGGATCTCCTCCCGGGGAAAGCTGGCCGAGCGAGACATTGTCCAGGTGAAGCCCAGACCCTGCCTGCCCCACAGAAAATGCAAGAGCCCCTCTAGGCAGGCTGACCTAACTCCCCCTTCTAGGGGCTTCTCTGGAAAGGGGCCCTGGAAGGAGGCACTGGGAGCCCTAGAATGGCTTGGCCACACAGAAGGAAACAGGAGTCAGTCTTAAGGCTGGACCCACCTCTACCACGTCTGAGACTCACCCCTAACACCGTGTTGCCCTGACTGGAATGCTCTGCCATGCCCTCCCTAAGCCCCAGGCCTCCAGGGTCTCCTGTAGAACACAGAGGCCTAATTACTTGTGCCTTCTGTTATTTTCTGCTGGGCTGCCTTCCTAAGTGAGATGGCAAACCCCATGAAGCGGGGGGAGGTGTCTTTAGTGTTGCTGCAGCCCTTTCTAAGAATGAATGTTGCTTGGTTGATTGAATGAATACCAACGTCTCCATGTAGGATGGCAAATGTAACGAGCAGACAGGTCTTTGTCCTCAGGGAATCCCAGTCCAGTCAAGCCTCAGAATGCACGTCAGTAAGCACATCCCTCTGTGAATCTCTTGCACACGGAGTCCCTAGTGCTTAGGAGATTCAGAATAAAAAACCCGATATTCTCCATACCACCCCCTCCCCCATTAAAAAAATTAAGGGGGAGGGGTCATTCCAGGTGTGGAGACCAAAGACAGGGAGCTAGAAACTGGAGCAAGGGCAGTCTGGGAGGTGGGACCTGTGTATGCAAAGGCCTGGAGGCAGGAGTGAGCCTGAGGCACTGGGAAGGGGGGCAGACATCTCCTGGGATAAAGCCAGAGGGGCCTGACTGTAGGTGTTGGCCCAGAAAGGGAAGAGCAGAAGCAGAGACAGAGAGCGCCCTGCAGGAGAGGTGGGAGGAGACCCGCAGGGCCCACTTTCCAGAAGCCAGGGGATTACTTCAGCATTTCCTGAGTGCCTGCTAAATGCCTGTGCTTGGTGCCAAGACTTCAGAGGTGAAGGGATCTTGTTCAGTGGTGTATTGTTTCCTGGCATGAATAGGTGTGCAGTAAGTTATTTGTTGAGTGAATGACAGAACAGGGACTATGATACAGTCCCTCCGAGAATTCACCATGACGGGGAGGGCTTGAGTGAAGTGGGCAGAGGCTGGGGAGGAGTGGGACAGGATCCCAGACCTGGAGATTTGGGGGACTAGTGTCCAGAGGGAGACCTCGCCTGACCCTGCCTCCCCTACTGGACAGTTTGTGCCCTTCAGGGACTATGTGGACCGCACGGGCAACCACGTGCTGAGCATGGCGCGCCTGGCCCGCGATGTGCTGGCTGAGATTCCTGACCAGCTGGTGTCCTACATGAAGGCGCAGGGCATCCGCCCTCGCACCCTGCCCGCGGCCCCAGAGCGCTCGCCCCCGCGGTCCCCCACCCGCACGCCCCCTGCTTCCCCCCTGCACACGCACATCTGAGCCTTGTCTGCTCAGATGGCTGGGGCTTAGGCCAGTAGAAAGGGAGGCGGAGTACCCAGACCCAGCTACAGACCATCCTGCCCAGCCTTTGGAACACGTGTGCCTGGGAGGCCCACAGCGGGTGGGGCTTCTGGAGACTCCTTCCCATACTGCCCAAGCCCCTAGAGTTTGGGGGTACGGGTGGTGGAGGAGGGGATCTGGGCCCCTGCTCTTCTCTCCTTTCATTGATACCTGGTTCTGGACCAGCCAGGAAGATGTTAATCAGGACGACTGGGGTCCCGCTCAGCCCACTTGAGCTATTACCTGGGTAATCCCATCTGCTCCTATATCACCCTGAAGCCTGGGCTAAGCCTCCCACCTCCAGGCCCCCTTCTCCCTCCCCTCCTCCTGTGGTGTCTACTCCTATACCTGGCCCCTGACCCCTACCCAGTCTCTATCCTGTCCCATTTCCAGTGAACCCTGTGAGGCTGCTGGGTTTGCAGGAGTGCCTAAACATGTGACCCCTCCTTGGGACCCTTGCATGAAGTGGGAGTCCTACAGACGCATGAAGGGGATGCTGTGATAGTAGATGGAGGCCACATGGTGGGCAAGGAATGGAGGCTTTTCAGGCACAGAGTCATTTCTGGTGCCTCTCAAGCCCAGTATGACGCTGGTTCTAGACACACAGATCCACAGGCCTCTCCCTGGTCTGAGCTCGTAGGTACCTCCACAGTTGGCTCCTGGCTCCAGGAATCCCCCTTTCTCCCCAGAGACTGCCCAGGGTCCTTGGGGCACCATCTTCTGCTGCCCACCTGGAGGCCTGGGCAAGAAGCAGCCCAGCTCCAGCACTCCCACACTGCCCCTCTATCCTATGGGGATAGGGGATGGGAGTCCTGGGTTCAAGCCCTGCCTCCAGCCGTTGCCGGCTGTGGGAACTTGAACAAGGCCTTTCTACCTTCTGGGTCTCAGTTTCCACATCTGTAAGGCAAGAGGATTGACCAGATGACCCTGGGTTTACCTTCAGCTCTGATACCCTGAGAGTCCACATTCATCCCACGCCCAGCTTCCGCCATCCCACTCCTCACCAGTGCAACCCCTTAAGGCCGTCTTGGTTTTAGGGTCACCCTGTTCCATCCCATCACCCCAAATCCACCCTCGTCCTTCAGCCTTGGGCTCTGGCATCTGAGCCTGAGCCCTTGCCCCTGCTGTGGGAAAGGTGAGAAAGATGATCTCACCCCTGGGCCCACCCAGCTGCCCAGCCTTTACCCACATGGTCATGCATGCCAGTCCCTCCTGCCGCATGGGGCTCCTCAGCCCACTGAACCTCCCGTTCCTGGGTGGAGACCAGGCCCCACCCCGTCTGTTGCCAGACACTGCTTCCCTTCCTGTCATGCATGATGGTGGTGTTTCTATGCTGTCTGGTCCTGTGCCTGTCTCTAAGACAGTCTCTGTGTGGAATTTGCCTTAAACTGAAGTAAATTTGGTTCTTTTACTAAAGTTCCTTGTTTTCCTTTCTCCTGTGAAAAATAGCACAGATGTTGCTGTGCGACAGAGTCCAGGTTCTCCTCTCTCTTTCTTCCATCCTTTTGTTCAAAAAAATGTACTGAGCAACTACTATGTGCCAGGGTCTATGCTAGGCACTGAGGATGCAGCAATGAACAAAACATAGGCCCTGTCTCCACATGGAACGTACAACAGACACACAAATAGGACAGGGGAAACACAGTAAGCACATAATAGGTAAATAATATAATTTCTGGTGGTGATAAGAGTCACAAAGAAAAATAAGAGAATGAGAGGATAGAGAATGACAGGGTGATATTTTAGATGAGGTGGTCAGGGAAGGAGGGCCTTTCTGAGGAGATGACAGTTAGATGAGCCCCAAGGAAATGAGAGGGGAAGGCATGCTGATATCTGAGGCACAAGGGCTCCAAGGAGAAGAAGCAGCAAGTGCAAAGGCCCTGAGGTGTGTTTGAAGAACATTAAGGAGGCCAGTGTGGTTGAAGCTGCATTAAGGAGGGGAGAATGCAGGAGATGGGGTTGGGGGTAAAGAATCTGGAATGTGCAGGGCCTTGCAGGACACAGAAAGGCCTTCAGCATTACTCTGAGTGAATCAGGGAGCCACTGAGGAGGTGAGAGAGGTGAGTAACATGATCAGATTATTCCATGGGTGACTTTACTCCATCTGATCACTCATCTCTCAACAAGTATTTACTGAGCATTAGTGCCAGGCCCTGCTCAGGTTGGAGACACTGTCTCACACACAGTTGCACCCTCATGGGCCTAACCCCTGCTCTGGAGCAATAAGCAAGGAAATCCTACCACCCTGGGGTATCGACACCAAACCAATGAGAGGGACCAGGATCTGTGGCCACCAAAGCGGGGCTCTTGGGGCAGCCTAAATGCCACACAGGTCATGTGCCCAGGATGACTTACTGCTCCTCTGTGTGAAGGGACTGTCACTCCTACCTTGCAGGATCGTTGTGTGGTCAGAGTGACACGTAGATGTGCACGCATGAAGCGTGTGACATTCCCAGGGCCTGCTGCACTAGGTGCACAGTAAACACCACTTTCCTCCTTGTCCCTCTTCACATATAAGTCCCTGTGACCATGAGGGACCAGGATCACAGGGAAAGGGGATTTCTCCCTTCTCTGGGTGAGTTTGCTCTCAGATTAGCCCTCCAGGCAGCCTTTCCCAACTAGCACATCACAAGAAATTGGTGCTAATTATACCAAAGTTTGGGACTTGCTTGCTTCTTAGACGATTTTATGGTAAATTAGAGCTGATTCACCACGGTCCTTATAATTAGATGCCCCTTTGACTTGCATTCCCATCCACTTTGAGTGGGTACCGGCTGGAGTCATAGCTCGAGAAGAAGAAAGTTCCCATAACCAGCAGCCCGTTTTTACCTCATCTTGGGCTCCCGTGGGAAAGCATGGGGAGGAGAAGGCCGCCTGGCAGGGCAGTCGAGGCTCAGAGCCGCTGCCACTGGTGCACCGAGAGTGTCTTTACTGTGCTCAACACGGTAGCTGGGTTCTTTCCCCAGGTGTGTTCCACGGAACACTGGTTCCCTGGCATGGGTTTTGGGAAACTGCCCACTCTGAGCCCCTCTCAGAGAGTCCCCATGGCCTTCAGGGTATTAGAGGCTTTGATTAGTCCTGTGGCAAAGAGACTATTTTGACTTGGTTCATCCCAATGTTTTCTAAGCGTTTTGACCATGGGGTCAGGGTGTATGTGTGTGTGTTTAGCTGTAACACTATCACCAAGCAGAACATGTTGTCTTGGGAATTTCAGTAGAGACAATCTCCCTGGTTTCCAGGCCAACACAAAAGCCTGAGGCTTTTTCCCAGGAGGCCAGAGGAGGTCATGGAGTTGGGGAACTTCTCAGAGGGGATGGGGTAGGAGAGGTGAAGACCTCCAGTTGCCTCTGGAGAGAAGGAAGGGGCCTCAAAAGGGGCCCCTGCCCCTGCCACATCAGGAAGAGAAACCACAGAGAAGAAAGGAGGGCATTCAGAAATTCACAGGCCCAGACTCACGGCTCCATTTTGACTTTACTTCATGATATTCCTTTATTGGGCTGAGAGGTGTGTGGGGGACAGAGCTGGGGGAGGACAGGCAGAGAAGGGAGAGGCAACTGAAGGGTCCCCCTGGGCTATGAGCCTCTACCCAGGCAGCCCATTCAATCCCCAGGCCTTACCCCAGGAATGAGGACCGCAGGAATGATCAGCCCCCAGATCATTCTTCTACCCACTTCTCTGCCTTTAGAAGTCCCTTTACCACTCTCACTTCAAATGCCCCTGAATTAATAAAAATAAGATTATAATAATAATGGTAATGAGCAACACTCATATGTACTTGCTAAGTACCAAGCATTCTTCTAAGCACTTTATATGTATTAAGAAAGTTTATCTTCGTAACAACACCATCAAGAAGGTACTATCATGATCCTATTTTCCAGATGAGAAAACTGAGGCATAGAGAGGTCAAGGGACTTGTTCAAGTCATACTACTAGAAAGTAATGGAGCCTATAGTTATCCATCTGAGCCCCAAGGTGGAATGGGAGCAGCGACCTAGTTGCCGTTTAATTGCTGTGTCACCTTTGCTGGGCTATGCCTGCCCTCTCTGGATCTTAGTCTCCCAACTGGTAAAATGGAGGGGATGGGATCTATGTCATAGGGGTCTTCCCATCTCTCTTGAATCTCAGCTCTCCCATCAGCCTAACGTCTCAGACCCCCACCAGACCCCATAGGCTTCCTGGGGCCCTGTCATGTCCAGGCTGGATTCTCTCTATCGCCACACCAGCCCCTCCCACATCCCTGGGATGCCTGGCTGCCATTGGCCTGCAGAAGAGGTCCCTGAGCCTTGCCTGGAAGGGGCAAGAGAGGTAGAAGCAGAGGATGGGGCTGACAGCACAGTTGGAGTAGGCCAGGATGGTGGAGAGGCTGGATGCCACAAAAGCCACCAGCATGGCAGGCCGGTCACCCACAACTGCCACATAGCCTAGCACAGAGCAGGGTCCCCACATCCGCATGAAGACCACCAGCACCACAAGGATGAGCCCTGTGTTCTCCCGGTGTTCCCAGATGTTCTACCCCCTGGGGCTATGGGTATGTCTCCACAGGAGCCAGCCCAGGTGGCTGAAAGAGGAGCCCAGCCCCATCATGCAAGGCAGGAAGGCCAGAGCTCCCAGCAGGGTGAAGTAGCAGGAGGTCTGAGCAGGGTTCAGGAGCAAGAGGCAGGCCTGGGCCTCCTCCTCCACGACCACTCGCTGGAACAGCCAGTTGGGTAGCGATGCAGTGAGGCCCAGGACCCACGTGGCCCCACAGAGCAGCAGGCGGACACCCAGGCCAGACGGGAGGGCCGCGTCAGGCCAGGCCACTGCCACATGGCACAGAAGAGCCATGGCCACCATGCCATAGAAGGTGCAGAACATGGTGGTGGTGTTGGCAGCCTGGCTGATGGTGCAGATGGTGGGGCCCAGCCACCAGTCCTGCCACAGGAAGCTCAGCAGGAGCACAGGCACCACGCCGGCCAGGAAGAGCAGGTCAGACAGCGTGATGCTCGCCGTGAGGCTGTTGGTCAAGGTGAGGAGTGGGTGGGGGGCGCCCGGACCCCGGCCCACCGCCAGCAGCCCCACCTGGGGACGAGGCCACAGACCCCGGCAAAGAGGAGTCGGAGCAGTCGCTCAGGTGTAGCTGTGAGCCCGGAGGTGGACGTGGTGTTGGCCTCCATGCTCCTGCTCTGGACACACAAGGACAGGATAGAAACCTGCCCGAGGGCTGCCTCCCTCTTTCCCTGTTGAGCTCCCTCCTTTCACAGACCCCTGCACACAGTGGGTGCCCTTGGCATGCACCAGCCCCTTTAGACCTCACAACAACCTGATGGCATGGGCTCCATCAATTCCCTGGGTTCAAATCCTGACTCTGCGCCTTGGGAGCTCCATGATCTCGGGAAAGTTACCTCATGTTTCTCTACCTCAGTTTCCTCAACTTTAAGGAAACGAGGAAATAAAGGAAACAAAACAGGTGTCAATAGTAACTGGCACTAAAGGATGAGATTCAGGTAATTTTCATTTTCTTCTTTTTAATTTCTGTATTTCTAAAATTTCTGCAGGGAGTACAAATTTAATCTGATAAACATTATTTACATATTTAGCATATATATTTAGTACAGTATATATATTTATTTATTGTGTGTGTGTATATATATATATATTTTAACAAAACCTTGCCCTGCCTGTGAAATGAGCAAGGTTTTTTTTAATATCTTTATTGAAGTATAATTGCTGTACAAAAATGAGCAAGTTTTAATTTGAAGTTCAAGTGGGAAAATGAATGTGCAAGTGCTTTGAGAAGGTATAAAGCCCCAACCAGTGGTTCCCAAGCATGTCTACACATTGGGATCAGTTGAGGAGTTTCAAAAATACTAATACATGGGTCACACCCCCAAAGACCCAATTTGATTGGTTTGGGCTTTGACAGTTTTGAAAGACCAGCTTGGGAACCTGAATAATCTGAATCCAGGTTATTAATAATAATATTAATAATAATCTGAAGAACTCAGCATTTGCCTGGAAGTTCACTCTGAAGTCTACCTTGAGTCCCTCCTGCTGCTCTCCTCACCTGCCTTGTGCTGCTCTGAGGTTCCCGGGCCCTGCTGAGTGACTTGGAGCCCTTTGACACCAGGAAAGTCTAGCGCCCCCTCCGCAGCTGTACTCCGCACAGAAGCTGGATCCAGCCAGAGAAAGCCAGGAGAGGCCTCTGGGCAGGTGTACAGTCCCTTCTAGCACTCCACCTCCAAGGAACTTGAGCTAGCTGCCTGAGGTGGGACCAGAGCTGAGATGGGAGGGGCAGGCAGAGAGGCCATTTCTATGCTGGATCCCCCAAACAATAAGGGCTCTATCCACTCTACTGGCTCCCCCAGGAATCACACCCTGCCTACCTGCCTCATTAACCCACTGGCCCATAGGACAGAGATGTTGGTGCCTGCCAGATCCCCAGACCCCTGAGACAGAGCCATTAGCAACAGTAGGACCTGCCCCCCCCACTCTCAGCCAGGGCGAGGCATCATTTACTCCAGCTCACCTCTCCCTGTCTCTCTGTCTGTCTCTGTCTTTCTCTGAGCCTACTACAGCCTAGAACCTGCTCAGAACAGGAGGAGGCTTGTGGGCTGACAGGATCCAGGAAGGGAGAAGACATTGGAGCTAAGAAAGAATCAGTGAGCGGGACCAGTAAGAGAAATGGCTGGACCACAGGAATCATTCTGCATTTACTAGTCTAGAGATTGAATGGGATCCATTAAGGGCATCTAATCTAACCCTCTGGTGGCTTCTGATACCTGAATCTTCCCCACCTCACCTCTTTGCCAAGTGTTACCTGGCTTTGGCTTGTATGCCTTTAGTGACAGAGAGCTCAATCTTTTAGAACTGAGCAGAGGGATAGGGGCCAAGAGTGGAGACTCTGATTAAATTGATTGGAGGTCTCTTTCCTCTATCTCATTCCCTCCTCTTTCTCCTTCATTCTCTCTCTCTTACCCTCTGCCTCCGGAACTGTATTTGCTTGTGTCTATGCAACTGAGGTTTCCTCTGATTCAGCTGAGGAAGTCACCAGTACCCGAATGATTACAAAGTACCAAACTCAGCACCCTGCCCACACTGGACCGCAGTACCTGGTGAGCATTATTTTGGTTAACGGTAAGATGACACAATCGACATTTACAGCAAACACAGATGACAGGAGATAGTCCAACACCAAGAGGCTGTCTGAGACGCTCAAAGCACTCTCCCTAAGGGCAATGAAATTCCCAGCCCCAGGCTGTAATGTGCAGCCACCTTTCGGGAGGCAAATGTTGTGCAATTCTGGGAATTCTCACAAACGCTCCAAAGAGGGACCCTTGAATAATCTGAATCCAGTTTCCCCTGTGGCTCCCCAGGCTCTACCAGCCACACCCCAGCTGCGCCTCAAGTGTATCCGGAGATTGACACCTCAAGGCAGAGGGCTGCACCAGGGGCACCATGGCATGGGGCCAGGAGTGGGATCCCCAAATGTGGCCCCTTAGAGGCACATCTTGGGGAAAGAGAGTGGGGTTGGGGCTCAGGGAGACAGGGGGGATGGAGCATATCAGGGGCCATCAGAACATCGCTCTTCCCCAGGAATCGGATTCTGCTCGAAAGAACCCCATGCTTGCAAACAGATACAGTGAGTGTGACAAGGTTCACCGGCTTTGCCAGGCATGGAACAGTGGGGCTGCTTTAATAAACAGTGTACTTTGTGATTAACAGGCCATATCAATTTGTAATCGGCACCAAAGCAAGTTCTTTGAAAAGTTTCTCTCCCACCCTTCCATATTTGCTCTTATTTCTGACTACACAAGCAATACCCAATCATTATAGAAGATCTGAAAATACAAATACATATAAGAGGGAAAACACCCTCACACATTTACCCTGTAATTTTACCACCCAGAGATGTTTTGCCAATATTGTGGTGTATTTTCCTTAAGTCACTTTTCTAGACTCTTCTTTCTTTAAAGAGTTTTAACCTCCCCCCCTCCCCCCACTACCAGTCTTATTACTCAGAAAAGTCCTTTGGAGTACAAAGGGCAGCATTAGTGCAGCCACTCCCCTGGGATCCAAGTCCTGCCCCGAGGAGGATTTTCCTGAACTTCCAAGCTGGCTGTCTCTGTCATTGCTGTGTCCAGGCAGGTGGGACAGGACCCGAGGAACAGGAAACCCAGGGAGGTGGCCCACCTAACCTGGCCAGGCCAGGTGCTCAGGAGCAGCAGCCAGCTCTCTTGGGTGGCCTCTCGGGGGCCACCTCCACCAGTGAGCCCTTCAGGCGGTCTTCTTGCATCTTGAGTGACCTGCGTGAAGATGCCTGGGCATCAATCCTCTCTCTCACCTCCCAGGGGCAGCAGGGAGGGGCCCAGGGGTGCAGCTGGGGGGCTGCCCCCCGAGCTTCCTCTCTCCCAGCTGCTGTGCCCCTGTCCTGCGTTCCACATGGCACCAGAAAAATGGGGCCACGGAGACTTCGGCTTCCTGTCTCTTTTCTGGCATTCTCTGTAGCCTACTGTGTGCCAGGCGCAAGGGACTCTGATTATGACAATGAAGCCATCATGTCCTTGCCTTGAGTAGTGAGAGAGACAGAGAGGGGAAGGGGCGATCAGGACCCAGGAATGGGGAGGCACACAGAGGGACTTCACACCGGGTCCTGGAGGGATTTAGGGAACAAGGAGGCAGAGATGGAGCTGAGACTGAGGAGTGGACAAGGGTTCACTAGCAGAAAAGAGGGAGAGGTGTGTTCTAGGCAGAGGGCAAAAGCTCAGCGTCGAGAGAGAGCTTGGGGGTTGGGGAAGCAAAGCCCCTTCGTTCATTCATTTATTCACAATATATTTACTGTGTGCCTGGCTCTGTCCTAAATCACAGAGCCTAAGGACTAAATGGCCAGAAAGAAGCCTTGGAGGCAGCAGGGATTCAGGGCTCTGCCGGCCAGGAAGCCACATTCAGGAACTTGGGCTTTTATCCTAAAGCAAAGGGAAGCCACTGAGCAGTTTCCTGTCGGAGGGATCTGGCGTGATCAGGTTTGAAGTTTAGCAAGCTCACTCTAGCTGCTTTGTCAGAGAAGGGGCCCAGAGATCATCTGGTCTAATACCCCTCCCCCCTCACTCACTTCATTCATTTATTGAACACCTAGTATGTGCCAGGCCCCAGGAGGAGGGGCTGAACAAAACAGACATGACCCTGCCCTCCTGGAGCTACAGCCTGGTAGGGAAGGCAGGCAGCAAAAAGAAAACAGACAAATGCATGTGTAACTACAGTTTGTCAAGAGGGGCTTTTTTGTTTTTTTTTCAAGAAGGGCTTTGAAGGACACAGAGAAGGTAATCATAGCGGTGGGAGGGGGTGTGGTCAGGCAGGGTCCCTCTGAGCGGCTGAAGCTTATGCGGCGGGGGAGGGGGGGTGGCGTGGGCAGGGAGATGGCACTGGAGCCAATACAGGCCACTGAGAGGCATTTTGCCGCACCGCTTGGCTTGTGGGATTTTAGTTCCCCAACCAGGGATCAAACCCGGCCCCTCGGCCACTGCACCAAGGCTCAGAGAGGGGACGGGAGATTTCCCAGGGGTGATGCAGCTAACAGGACTGGCAGAATTGGAGTGAGGAGACTCCATGCAGTGTTCTCTCTCCTTCCCCAGACTCCTGAGCCCTGTGCTTTCACAGGTGCTTCCTCGGAATGGGCCTTCCCCTCCCACATGAGTCAGCTGAAGGCTGTCCAGAAGATTCTGGGCGGGGAGCAGCAGGGCGGCACTCACCGGGCCAGGTTCACCACAGGCTCCAGGATGTTGTGACCCAGGGCAGCGCTGCACTCTCCAAAGGAGACCCCCAGTTCCTGCAGCCAGACAGATAGGGGTACAGGTGCCATGGGGGAGACCACTGAGCGTCTAGGTGGCAGTGCCCACCACCAAAGACCTGATCATCAGACAGAGTCCCACCCAGTACACCCCCAGGCAACCCCAACCGGTGAGGCAGCCCATCTCCGCCTCCTTGTGGCCCATGGCCCCCAGCCTTGCCCCTCTGCCCACTGTCTCTTCACCATGGCTGGACAAGGTATCAACGATGCCACCTAGAAAACTCCACAGCATTCAGAGTGACGGTGGGAAGCCTGTGTCCCAACTTGGAGGAGTGTCCTTGGGGACATTTTTAAGTCATTAGTTCTATGTATTTTTAATTTTAAAAATATTTAATTGGGGGAAATATTTGAAAATATAGCATAAAAAAGTAGAAATACAAAATATAAAACACTCCTGTTAGTATTTGAGTATATATTTCCATTGTGCTTTATATAACCCTTTTATTGGGGGGTGAGGGGGTGGGCTAAACGTCGTTATACTTTAGGTTAAACATATGAAAGTGCTGTTTTGATAGACACCAAACAGTCAAATATCAGATTTGACTGATTCAACCTAACCTATACCCAGAGATGCAGCTGCTTTTCTGACTTCACGTTATATTGTAAGCATTTCCTCCACACCCTTAAATATTTTTTAGAACAGGATTCTTAATGGCAAATGCTAGCCTCTCACATGAAGCTCCACAAATTAACCACCAAAGGTTTGTTCTTATCAATAACACTGTAAAGAATATCCTCATACAAATGTTCAATTATACATAATACACGGGTATCCAGTACGTCATTCTCTCAAGAATTATTATTTCTGACTCTTTCCTTAGGATAAATTGCTAGAGGAGGAATTACTGTGTCAAGGAGATGAGCTACTACTTTTTTTTTCTTTTTTTTTTGAGCTACTACTTTTAAGAGGAAAAAGTTCCCACCAACCAGGAGTCACAATGATGACCTCATGATCAGGAGAAATGAGAGAAGAAACAGGAAGGAAATACGATATGGAAATGCCAAGAGGGGTGGTGTCAGAGGTAGGGCAGGGAGCGAGAGTCTTTGTTCCACCTTTATTATTCTCCAGATTTTCTGGAATGTAGTTCAGTTCTATTCATAAATAAATAGTATCCACTGTCCCCTGTCTGGTGACAGGGCTTTTGATGCAATCTTCCCAGGGAAGAATTTGGATCTTAAGATAGAATAAATTAGAAGGAATGTTATGTTAATTGGAGACCAGAGATAAAATTAAGATTTGATTGGGAATTTTAAGTGAAGCTTAAAAAGATTTTTACTCTGAAGATATTTTTAGGTAGGTAGGGACACTGTGGGGATTTGCTAATTCAACAGTGAGGTTCAACGTCATGCCCACTGTTACCTTCTCGTGTTTGGGTCTTAGGCCCCGGGTGTGGGGGAGGCTGTCGGTCTTTGATGGAGCAAGGGCAGGAATGGATCCTTCTCTGTGGTATCAGCCAGGGTGACCTATTCATTACCCTCGAGGGAGGGGTCTGCCCAACCCAGGCTGGGGGAGGGGCTGATGCCCAGGTACTCACCTGGGCCAGTTGCTGCCCAGCCTCGGTGGACACTTGCCGATCCTCCTCACAGTCTGTCTTGTTTCCCAAGAGAAGGACGACCACGCTGTCAGACACTGCATCCTGTACACAGAACATCTTCCCTTAGCAACACACGTTGAGCGCCTGCTGTGTGCCAGGCCCTGGGTAGATTTGGCCATACTCTCCAGGAAGCTGACTGTGTGCCACTTTCCTCCACACATGCCCACCTTTCCATATCACACCCACTCCACACTCTTCCCACCTCTGACACTTTCCCTTCCATCTGCAGTGAACCTCTCTGCCTGCAAACATGTCACCCACTTTCCAAGGCCAACCTCAAAGTCACCTCCCCCAGGAAGCCTTCCTAGATTGCTCCTGTCCATGCTCCTCTTTCCTGCCTGTATTGAGCAGCCCAGCATTTGACTATGCAGGCTGCCTTGGCTCATCTCCTAATTGTTTCATGGATAATAATAATAATAGCTTCTGTTTACTGAAAGTTTACTGTATACCAGGTGCTGTGCTGAAAGCAGTTATATCAGTTAATCCTCACAACTGCTCTGTGAGAAAAGTTGGGAAATTGAAGTTCAGAGAGTTTAAGTCACTTGTCCAAGGTCACAGAGTTGGGATGGGATAGTTGGGATACAAACCCAGGTCTTATCAGAACCCAGAACCCAGCTCCCCTCATGTATCACCTTATCCTGCTTCTCTTGCATCTCTTCAACTAGACAAGAAACTTCTAGAGAGAAGACAACATATCTTTCTTCATACCCCTCTTCTGTGCTAGCACATACTGCAGAGTTTCAGCATGTATACATACAGCAAGTAAGTACGTGGGGGAAAGAACTAGAGATGTGTGAACAGAGGAATGATCACCTAGAGTGGCACTAGACTTGCATTATCCCCAGGTGTTAAGAAGACATCACAGAGCTTCTGTATATAGGAAAAAATGGTCATAGGATAAAGGAAAGAGTTTGTTTTGGAGGCCGTACTATGTGGTTGTAGTTTCTTTGTACTACTATGTTCCCAGCCCATCCAGCCACATACCCTCAGTAGATTATGTCACCCATATGTCTGCTGTGTCATTTGTAATCCTGGGAGAAAAGAGGGAGTGGGAAGGATACAAGTTCCCTCTTGACTCCGCACACTGGGGCCAACTCCAGCAGCCATCAGCTCACCAGGAGACAGTCCAGCCAGTAGCGCACATGGGCAAAGCTCTCCTGGGAGGTGACGTCGTACATGAGCACCACTCCATCAGCCTTGCGGAGCAGCTGTCGCGTCATGCTGTGGTACCTGCCCAGAGAGTCCGCATCAGGCCATGCCAGGCGGCCTGACCCCAAGCCCTGACCTCTCTAGGTCTCAGCCACTCCATCTGCTTCTAATTGCTTCCCAAAGAGAACGTGCATGTATTTTCCTTCTTACAGTGTGCTTATTGTTAATAGGTAACAGTCCTCATGGCTCAAATTTCAGAAGGTACCAAAGGGCACCCCGTGAAAAGTCTCTCCCAGCCAACCCCACCCTCATCCTGCAGCCACCCCCAGAGGCAGCCAGAGTTCCCCATTTTTTTTTTTGATAGCAAGAAGTTTATTTTACCCATTTCTTAAATAGTTTCACAGAGGTATTATATATATATAGATACA